ATTTTCTTCTATAAAATAACAGTTTTTATATTGACTACATACTTTTATAATATTGGGATTTATCAACCCCGTATTTAAATATCTACTATTTAAAACATTTAAAATAATTAGAGTATGTTGTTGTTTTTCCTTTGGTGGCTTCAATGAGCGCAGAAACTGTACACGGTCACACATCACACTATGTCCGAATGAATTATTGACAAACGTAATAGTAAAACGAGCACAAGCTGCAGCACAATGAATCTATGTGATCGGCGATCACACACAATCGTAGACAAAGAAACCTATAGAAAAATTGACTCCTTCTTTCTCATTCGCACACGAAAAAGATAGATTTATGCATACGTCTTGCATAGAAATGAGAAGGAGCGGTGTGATTATTTGTCCCTTTCTCCGTACCGGTTTTTTTTGTTTAGCAAACTACACTTTGCTAAACAACTTTGACAGTTCGTAGCGATCTAAGGAGTTTACAAGTTGGTTTAAGTGTGAAAAAGGTGTTTTGTGAGCTTAAGATTGGTCAATTTTGTTCAGTTCAGTTCTCAGAACAATTAAAAACTTTAAAAACGGTTAAATGTAGTCTCTTAGGATGTAAAAGTGATAGTGAACGTAAACTCACCGGTATATCATTTAACTCGTAAGTATAGTACATTTTATGTGGTATTACGTATAAAATTCAGTTGTTATTTTAAATTTCGTTACAGTACTATATAAAGATACGTTTAAACTTTATCTAATTATGTTTAAAAGTCATAAAGATTATTGTATGTTATTGTATAACCTAAAACTACGTTACGTCCTTTCTCACTCGAGGCCACGCTAATCATTAGTCTATAGGTTTCTCTGTCTACGCACACAATAGATGTCTATAGAGTCTGGCGTTGATATAGAAGTGATGACGTCATCCACTTGCACAGGCTCGGCCGTCACAGCTGCAGATGCACTGGCAGCGTCGTTGATCCGCTCGGACGCCTTCATTAATTTATGTTCCCTGCACCGCTTTACTCTATTATATGGTGTTTTATGGATATAACTGGATTGCTCTTGAGAAGCTTTTTCAAACAGCTTACAATTTGTATATTTTGATTTGGCTTTTGACGAGTATAGGCCGACATTGCATTATTTTAATTTTTTACTTTAACACCATATATATTCACTATAACTATTTCATAGAAATGTTTTATATAATATCCAATCCATAGATCTTAAAAAGAGCTAACGATTAAAGCTCAAATGAATGTTGTAGCTTCTTCAAGTCAAAATTTATACCAAACAGTAATTATGTGACGCAGCGAAACGTCCTCAAAATGACGACACTTTTCCCTCCGCCGCACGCGATGCATCACAGTCTTTACTTATTATAACGAAATCTTTTGTCTTTTAGTAGTCGAGTGGAGTAATCAAATTTTGAATATAGATGATAGATATGTAGTTGCAACATCAAACTGTATCCCCCGAATTTTTTATCATCAATTTTTTGAATTGCCTCCCATTATGGATGCAAATTTAAAGACGTATTCACGTCAACAGCTTGGAAATAGTTTACACAGAGATTAAACTGAATAAGGAGTTGATTAAAAAAATAATATCCATATCAGTATTTCAAACACAAGATTCAGAGTTTACAAGTATTGACATGTGCGACATCGGTCGATGTTTGTGCTTACGAACTACCAAGGGGCCGACCCCTCTTTTACTGGTTCGCCAGTTATTTTGCTGTGGACTGCGGTCCAATTCCCAACTTAACGTGCCCTTCGGGGGAAGCACGGAGTTGGTTGGTTGACACTCACCGCACACGGCGTGTACATTGTGCAGATTTAAAATGGAAGTTATCAAGCTGTCGCCCACAGTCACCTACATCTATCTTTCATCAAGAATCAAAAGACGCTGTTACATGAGGAGTAAGGCCTCGTTACCTGTAAAAAAGGGTCTTGTTCTCTTTATTCACCAAACGAAACAAAGCTGATTTTGCACACTGATATTCAGAATCGAACCAGCCGTGTTACGTTTTTAATACGCTGGAACGTAAATGCCACATATTTTATGAAAGGTATTGTATTTATGTACATAATTAAATATTTTTAACAATAAAATAATACAAATATTCGTATCCTACTTATCGTTATTTAAGTTATCTGTTTCATTTATATATATGGCCAAGAATATACCGAAGTCGAGAATACTATAAAAATACTTATTTTCGTTTTGGCACCTTGATATATTGGTATCGATTCGAACCACTGCTAAGTTAAGCTGTCGTCGTAGTAGTAACTTTTTATTTGACGTATCGACATATTACATACATACATACATACATAAACACTCACGCCTGTCACCCAGAGGGGTAGGCAGAGACTACGGACTTCCATTTGGCACGATCCTGACATACCTCTTTCGCCTCCTTTACATCCATATATCTACGCATACATGCTCGTCGGTTAAGGGTACTTCTAACGTGGCCCATTTTCAAAATATCGCCAATTTGGTCGATAAACTTTTTCCTAGGGCGTCCCTTCCCGACTCGGCCATTCACATCTGCCATATAAATTTGCTTAGTCACTCTTTCCTCATTCATTCTTTCTACGTGACCAAACCACAGAAGCATTCCTTTCTTAATCCTGGTCACAACATCATCTTGCATACCACATTTATCTCTTATCACGCAATTTCTCACCCTGTCAATCAGATTACACCCTAGCATATTCCTTAAAGACCGCATTTCTACAGCATTTATTCTACTTTCGTGCTTCTTCTGCCACACCCAGCTTTCACTACCATACATTAAAGTAGGGACTAACACAGCATTATGAATTACCATACGTGCCTGTTTTGACAAATTCTGGTTCTTCATAATAGAGTGTAGTGCTCATTCACTCTATTCCCTGCATTTACTCGTCGTTCTATATCCCTATCATATCTACCATCCCTGCTAAATACACATCCCAAATACACAAACTCATCCACTTGCTCAATCAACTCTCCTTTTATTCTTATTTCACATACCGTTTTGCTTTCTTCTCTTTCAAAAACCATCACTTTCGTCTTACTTGCGTTCACTTTCATTCCCCTTTCTTTTAATTCCCAGTTCATTAATGTAACCATCATTTGCAACTCTGCCGCCGATGACGCAAGTATGACTTGATCATCGGCATACAAAAGGCATTTGACGGTTAACTCGCCCATTCTTAACCCACATTCTTCATCTTTCAAAGTTTGCAAACACCGTTCCATAAATAGGTTGAACAGCCAAGGGGAAGCCACACAGCCCTGTCTGACACCTTTTTGGATGCCAAACCAGTCCGAGTAGACCCCATTGATCCTGACACAAGCACTAGAGTCCCTATAAAGAGACCTTAATGCCTGTATCAAACCAGCGCTCAACCCATATGAGTTCAGTGTTTGCCATAACACATTCCTGTCCACTCTGTCATAAGCCTTTTCCAAGTCCATGAACGCACAAAAAACTTTCTGGTTTTTGGCCAAAAACTTCTCCGCAATCATGCGCATGGAAAAGACTTGATCTGTACACCCCACTCCCTTTCTAAAACCCGCTTGCACATCCCAAATTTTTCCATCAGTTTCTTTCATAACTCTTTCAATTAACACCTTAGCATACAGTTTACCCACAATACTAAGCAAGCTGATACCGCGGTAGTTTTTGCAGTCCTGCTGTGACCCTTTTCCTTTATATATTGGTACTATAACTGCTTTACACCAGTCATCCGGTACCCGTTTTAATTCCCAACATAAATTAAACAAGGTGTACAGCAGGCCTGCCACCACTCCCTCTGCAGCCCTTAGCATCTCGAGTGATACTCTATTATATCCAGCTGCCTTACCTGCTTTCATGCTTTTCATTGCTTTCATTATTTCATCTACACTTATCTCCATACCCCTTTCCACTTCTTTCGGAATTTCTAGTTCATTTAATTCATACGACTCTTCACTCATAAACACGCTTTCAATGTATTCCTTCCATCTGTTTAAATTCGAAACTTCATCATTCAGAATACATCCATTCTCGTCTATTATAGCATTTATTATAGGCTGTTTTGTATTTCCCCTGGCAGTTCTTACGAGTTTCCAGAACATTTTTATGTTAGCCTGGAAATTATCAGATATCCTTCTATCATTCTTATCCGATCTTTATCGACATATCATTGTAAATAATTTTGTAAACAAAATAATAATTATATATTACAATTTTATAATGCTAGAATAGGATGTATGGTTATCGTTATCTTTTCTTTATAGTTCAAAAACATATTATCAAATTCTCTGTCTACGAAAGCGATATTGACACTACCTCTCTTAATGTTGTCAGCTCCATACATTACCACATTATTAGGCGCTAAATTTAACAAGCGCTGACACTAAAACACAATATATAATTATTACTAACAAAACGTATTGATCGTGTGGGAATATTGTATTGAGACTAAATAATAAGAATATAAATAGCATCAAAATAGCAAATTGGAAAATGTGCAAGACACTGTTATTTTTAATCAAAGCATTTGCAAACAATAAAAATCCCTTTAAAAAATTAATTGTATTATTTAACGTTTATCAGTGTTCTTATTTAACATTTAAATTAAAACAGTCTATAGATTAGAAAATAAATTAAATTTGCGTTGGCAATAATTATATTAAGGGTCAAACCCTCCCGTTAGTGAGTATATTGTTATATTATGCTCTGTAACAACCACTGTTCACACACTTGAGTATATCTGAAATTTAATAAATGAAATTGTACGTTAAAATAAGAAATATGAGTTATTTTATGTATTAAAATATTTATAGTCCACTACATCGGAAGTTCTATTTTAGCAATTTTCGAAATGTCATTTTGCATTACATTCGCGTGAACTAACTGGCAACCCGGATTCAAACATCAACAGATCAATGATCATTAATTTTTATTTAACTATTACATTTTAAAAATTAATTAAATAAATAGGCATAATTTTAATTAAAGGGATATTTCTTAAAGTAAATAAAACATGCAAGCCTTTACAAGCATAAGGAATATTATTTTTATAATAAGTGGCGGTGTTTTAACGTTCGTAATTTTGTTTATTTTCGCGAAGAGGCAAATCACCAGATTTGCTTTAAGATCTCGAAGAGGACCTCATGTACCTATTGGCACCGATGCAAAGAAAGTTAGTAAAACTGCCCATATATTTTTAACCATAAATGTTTTATGATCGTGTATAAAGACTTCATTGCATTTCTGCTGTAGCTCAGTTAAGAATCAAAATGCAGATGCATTATCATCCCTCAGTGCTAAGATGGAATGCCTCCTTTCCAGTAAAATGGGTCTCCGGTTTTCGACACTCACCATACGAAACACAATGGCATTAAGCTGCCATTTTACACTGCTATTCTGTGAGAGTCTGGTCCTACCCTGGTCGAGCTGACCTATTTGTGTTATAACTATAATATAGCTGCAGTGTTCTCTACCATATTGTAACTGCTTATTTATTTTTACTTTAACTTATTAACTGCTTTTTTATTTAGTAGAAGTCTTTTACTTACTTTTAATTTGTTACTGTCCACCTCCTGTTTTATTTAACTCAGACACCAACAGGATGATTTGGGGTAGTTGATTCTCTTATGATGCTACTTCCAGTTAAATTTGTGGATTTTTTGCTTGTGTATAATGTACTCAATATATAAAATCTACTAATTATTTGGACTATTATATCTAGTTCGATGATGGAATCGTTAGAGATGTCTTCTGGGTGTGCAATCAAGCTATGTGCATTAATGGCGGTGATAAGTATAAAAGAACGCTGATGAGGAACATAACCACAAAACTTTTTGACTTGTGCGACTAGCTCAAATTGCTCGTCTTGACTAAGCAGCTCTATATACTTTAACACACCAATCTCTATGACACTATGCCATTCTCCACGTCAATGTTAGTCGTATTCATGTAAGGGTAACCCACTGAAAGCGGGAACTTATAAGGCAGTCTACATAACTCGACGACACTCATTTTGTGAAGCTTTTGCTGGGTTTTAGAAGCTTTAATGTGAGTTTTTAGTTTGGAATATATATTTTTGCTTATAAATCTGAGAAGTGACAAACAAACCCAAAATCCACCCGATGGTAAGTATCCACAGCAGGCCATAGACACCTGCAGATGCTTACAGATGCATAGTAAGATCTCTAAAATACTACTAAAATAGCCTGTGATTATACTACCTCTGTATGTCCTTCAGATCAGCACAACCATTAAAAAGGTAGTACCTACCCAGTTGAGCTTTTTGCCGAAAAAGTGTCTTTTCACCCAGGTAATATTACTATGTACCTGTGATTCACCCTCATAGTGGGTTGTAAGAATATCCACTACCCTGTATTGTCCAGGAGTGTCATAAGAGGCGACAGTAAGAAAGGAAACGGGAGGTGTCTACATGCTGATAACAGCTCAAAATTAAATAAAAAATTTAAATTATAAATTGTAGTTTCCTACTACTTGCCAAGAAAGGCAAATGTTCCCTATATTAGGCAGTCTATGGGGGAGGCCTATGTTCAGCGTTGGACCTTTGATAGGCAGTAATGGCATGGTAATGGCCACCATGGAAATATTATAAATAGTATACCATCTTACAAACGTGTCATAATCTTTACAGAGTCTAAAAAAAGAGATTGAGCGGCGTATAGAAGCAGTCCCAAGGATAGTTTATGAGCCACGTCTTTTGAGCGCCGAACCGTCTCATTATATTTTGGAACCACAACAACCTTACCACTACCGCTTTAGAGCGGTTGACGATGTTAAAACTTTAGGTAATATTCTTTTTTATTATTTGCCAGTCCATAAACTATTCACCAGTACACATACCTTCTTTTCATAATCATAGATTTGTCATAATCATCCTGTAGATCATACAATACTAAGATCTACACGACTTGTCGTGTTCTTTCGACACGTAATTATTGCGACATTCGCCATTTTTTAAATAATTTGCATGCAGCGACGCTTGACACGAAAATTGAAAACGATTGATTGTGTTGACATTTATAGGTGTGAATTGACATGTTAGTGGCTATACAGGCTCAGCCCACTTCCCCATTCTATTGTGTATGTATTATAGTATTCTATGCTGTAGATATATATCTCTTTTTGGTGTCGCTTTTTGGTTCCGTCGAGTTTCAAATAACATCGATTTTAAAGAAGTTTTCATTTCACACACTAAACGTGAAATTGTCCCAAATTGCAGAAGAGGAGATCAGCCGGCAGGAGCCAGGTTTGCGACGTCGTCCTCGCGAATCTCTGCGCTCGTTTTTGCTGTCTTCTCTGGCGGCTCCGCTGGACGGGCGCGGCCAGAAGCTGGTGCACCAGTTCTGCGACACGTACGAGTGCGCGCGCCACCACCCCGCAGACTTCGGAGAGGACGAGTACAGGGCGTATTCCCGCCTGCTGCTCAAGCTGCTGGATGCGTGAGTTGCCTTGCTACCAATATACAGGGTTATTTTTCAGAGGAGCCTTATTTTAAGCATAAGTTAAGATATATAAATAATGATATACCTTTATTGCAGTTGAAATAATACTAATTTTTACGGAATTTATCGCGTATATTTAATTTTTTTACCCGACGTTTCGAGACCTTTACAGCACCCATGGTCACGGGAAGGACTGAGATGTTCAACGTCCAGCTGTCATAGTTGACCACGGTTACCATAGATTAAAATTTAACTTTTGTTCCGATCTACACAGTATGAACTTATGGTATCATGGAGTCTTGCAGTTGTATGCTTGGGTTGGGATTTAATTTTATTTATTATAGGATCCCAAGCAGATGGTAGCACCCAGCCATCTTCTCTATTGAAATTAGGATGTTTTTTGATTTCAATAGCCTCGCAAATCATCCTTGGAAGGAATCGGTGTTCTTTAGCGAGGATTTGTGGTCTATCAAATCTGATGTAGTGACGGGGGCGATCCTGTACATGTTCACAGACTGCAGACTTCCCGGAGCGTCGATTCTTCACATCAGCTATATGTTCTTTGACGCGGGTTTTAATTGATCTTTTAGTTTGTCCTATGTAGGAGAGACCACATTCACAATCAAGCTTGTACACTCCTGCATCTTGCAGAGGGACGTTACACTTGACTGATGGTAAAAACTGACCAATCTTCTTCGGCGGCTTGAAGTATGTTTTGATGGAAGCGCGCTTCAAGATGTAGCCAATCTTGTCAGTGACTCCTCTAACATATGGCAGTACAGCAGGTACACGCTCGACTGTGGCCGGCTTCACTCGTTCTCTGTGACGTAGGCGCGGGACCCGAAGCTTGTTGTCATGCAAAACTTGCTTGACATGTTGGAGCTCGGCAGCCAGGTGTTTACTGTCACAGATCCCTTGTGCTCTCTGAAACAAAGATTTACCCACGGTAGCTAACTGTGAAGGATGGTGGTGAGAATCACCGTTTAAATATCTATCTGTATGGGTCTTTTTTTCTATACACAGTAGTTTTTCTAACACCTTGAGCCATTCATAGCTCCAACATGTCAAGCAAGTTTTGCATGACAACAAGCTTCGGGTCCCGCGCCTACGTCACAGAGAACGAGTGAAGCCGGCCACAGTCGAGCGTGTACCTGCTGTACTGCCATATGTTAGAGGAGTCACTGACAAGATTGGTTACATCTTGAAGCGCGCTTCCATCAAAACATACTTCAAGCCGCCGAAGAAGATTGGTCAGTTTTTACCATCAGTCAAGTGTAACGTCCCTCTGCAAGATGCAGGAGTGTACAAGCTTGATTGTGAATGTGGTCTCTCCTACATAGGACAAACTAAAAGATCAATTAAAACCCGCGTCAAAGAACATATAGCTGATGTGAAGAATCGACGCTCCGGGAAGTCTGCAGTCTGTGAACATGTACAGGATCGCCCCCGTCACTACATCAGATTTGATAGACCACAAATCCTCGCTAAAGAACACCGATTCCTTCCAAGGATGATTCGCGAGGCTATTGAAATCAAAAAACATCCTAATTTCAATAGAGAAGATGGCTGGGTGCTACCATCTGCTTGGGATCCTATAATAAATAAAATTAAATCCCAACCCAAGCATACAACTGCAAGACTCCATGATACCATAAGTTCATACTGTGTAGATCGGAACAAAAGTTAAATTTTAATCTATGGTAACCGCGGTTAACTATGACAGCTGGACGTTGAACATCTCAGTCCTTCCCGTGACCATGGGTGCTGTAAAGCTCTCGAAACGTCGGGTAAAAAAGTTAAATATACGCGATAAATTCCGTAAAAATTAGTATTATTTCGATGTGTAGTGTTCGCGTAAATATAAGAAATCATTTTATTGCAGTTTTTGAAAATATGAGTTAATAAAGCTTGTACTTTTATTTGATATTATCCCAAATCGAATGTGATTTATGGGCAACAACTATGCGTATGCATGCTCTTCTGTGTGCAATTCACAAAGTTTTTGGCGACTCATCAACCTTTATGTTGTGTGTGTGCGTTGTAAAATAGTAGGCGTGAGATATTTATGAATAAAAATCAGTTAAATTAACGCATTACCACCCTTTTTAAAATTTAAAAGATAAAAAGAACAGAATATTTTGAGATTTTATATTTAAATTAAGTTTTCTTTACCATTTGCGTATATTACTTATTCTGATCATAGTAGATGAAGTGACGACCTGGTAGGATATACAGGAAGTCGATGGATGCAGGTGACTTAGGACTATGGATTGTGGCATTCCTTGGGGGAGGCCTATGTTCAGCAGTGGACTTGTGAAGAGCTGTAATGATGATGATAATAAGTCATGACTTATACTGAAGCTTCCTTGGCCGGTTATTACAAAATAACCCTGTAGTATATAACTACCGTTACTGTTATAGTCTATTAGAGTTCACTGTGTACCCAGTATAAATTAAATATATTTATTTATATTTATATTTTATGTATAAATAATTAATTATTTATCTATAATTCTTTATGCAATTATGTTTATAATATGTATCTTAGTATATAGTTGTGGTTATTATTCTACATATATTATGTAGGCATAGATATTTTTGACGTAGCTGTTTGTATTTTGTTGTTTGTCTGCCTTTTTGCATTAAGTCTGCATTGTTATACTTGGTTTGCAAATAAATCATTAATTAATTAATTGATAAAAAAGCAGTATAAGTAGGTGCTATACCGTTCGCTTGTGTACCAGCGCGCGATTGCTGAAGAGTGTAGGTGCGTGCAGCCGCGGCTCAGCTCGCGACAGCCCACAGCGGCGGCCTGCGCGCCTGCTGGACGCCGCGCGCCTGCGGCCCGCCGCCTTAGCAGCCCTGCCCGCGCTACCCGGCGCCAACAAGCTGCCAGCCGTGCTGCAAAACCAGTATACGGCGCTCGAGGTACACATCCGACCCAACAAACACTGAGCTTAATATGCTAGCGGCCCGCAGCCTTAGCAGCCCTGCCCGTGCTGTTCCGCGCTAACAAGCTGCCAGCCGTGCTGCACAACCAGTACACGGTGCTCGAGGTACACACCCGCTCCAACTAACACTGAGCTTAATATGCTAGCGGCCCGCTGCCTTAGCAGCCCTGCCCGGGCTACCCGGTGCCAACATGCTGCCCGCCGTGCTGTACAACCAGTACACGGCGCTCGAGGTTCACACCCGCTCCAACAAACATTGAGCTTATTATGGTAGCGGCCCGCCGCCCTAGCAGCCCTGCCCGTGCTGTCCGGCGCCAACAAGCTGCCCGGCGTGCTGCAGAATCAATATACCACACTCGAGGTATACAACCACTACAACTGAGGCTAAGCTTAAATGATTCGCGGCGCGGCTGTGTCCCGCCGACCGGCCCGCCTAAAATCTGCCGTCCGGACTACCCTGCCTCCTCCACTTACTAAACCTTTTTCAGAATTGGCGGGTCTATCATTCTAAAATTTCAAAATGATCTCCAGATGCGAGAGGAGTGGAAGCAGAACGTTCGTTGAGCTAATTAAATTTTACTCTCAAAATGGGTTGAAACAGCTTTTTCACATACATCGCATATTTTATTCCTCTAGGCACTTAACCCTTCAATCTCCATAAAATTCCCATGCAGTCGCATGCGCTCGGAAATATCCCGAGCGGTCGCCCACCCACAGCACTTAAAACCATTAAAACTTATATTTAGAGACTACTTTTCTATGAAGAAGTTTGGCATTATAAAATCTATACATAATTCTCTATCCTGTGGTCTAAACAAAAGTCAGGTTAAACTTCGTTATAAAAAGATTTTATTGTATTTTGATAACAAAAAAAAAAAATATACCAAGCTGATGTCGGCAATGTGAAAATCTCAATTATTTCTGTATATTACTCTAAATTATTTACGTAAAAAGATAAATTATATTCACACAAAAATTTTTATAACGATTTTATAATAAAACACTATAGTAAAACACTAATAAAACACTAGAAAAATCCAAAAATCAACACAACAACATCCAAATGAAAATGGCGTACGTAATGACTAACTGTTTTTTATTCCACTAGAGGATAGAAAATTTCATATTGATTCTATAATGCCAAACTTCTTTATAGAAAAGTAGTCTCTAAATATAAGTTTTATGGGTTAAAGTGCTGTGGGTGGGTGCGGTCATATTTGACCGCTTGAATTTTGACGGAATATCGAAGCGGTCAAATTAGGCCGCTTGGTGTTTGAGAGGTTAAATATTTTTTCTCAAACAGGCAGTTTTCCTTCACCGTCGAGCACTTGGTAAATTAGCACTCAGAATTACAATCAACACTGTCATTGGTGTCGGCGGGGATCGAACCCGGGTCGTTCGTGTACCGTGACACACAAGAAACTTGAGCTTGAGGGATGCGCACTAGTTACAAATAAGAGCTAAGACTAACTATATCTGTTGAAAATTTTCTTTTTCAGAACATGCCGATAGAGTCCAAAGTGGAGGACGAAATAATCCGCGTCCCAGTGAAGAGTCCCACGGAAGTCCAAGTGAAGGGTCCGGCAGACGAGACGTCCGTCTGAGGGCGGCGCGCCCGCCACGAGGCCAAGACTCTCTAACGTGGTGCGGCACAGAACAGAAAACAACAAGAAAAGAGAAAAGATATTGATAAGATCAGTGACATGTGACTTGAGAAAAAAGAGAAAAGAATAGATGTTGACAAGATCAGTGACGTATGTGACTTGAGTGTAATGTGATTTTGAAGTGAGAATTGGAGAATATTGAAAAATATAAACCTTATTTCATCCAATGACAATTAATATTATCATTGGATCTCATTGAAAACTGTATGGGGCTAACTGTACATGAAATATAATTGCCTTATTACATGAAATAGCTTATCTTAGGTTTAAACTAGATTATGTTTCCATAAAAATGTCTGTGAAGAATAAGCGTAGGTACCAATATGTAAAGTTTGGAATTTAACTGTTTGATGCTATAAAATCAGTAAAATGCAATTGCATTGGTAAGATGGATTAGAAAAGCTCCTTTAATCGAATTCGGTTATAATAATATATATTCGCTTATAATAAAAAGCCCCACTAGAGTGAGCGATGATCTAGTAATAGATGCAGAAAGTTGATGGATGGCAGGCAGATGCTCATAACTGTTCTTCGTGGCATTCCTTGGGCCTATTTTCTGATGAGTGATGATGATGAAAAATAAAAAATAAAGTAAATCAAGGATTAAACTGTAATTTTGATGTTTTTTTTTATAAAAAAAACTCACCTGATGGTAAGTTACTACCGCGGCCCATGAACAACTGCATCACCAGAATAATTGAAACGTATGAGGAAGAGAATTCCTCGTAAATCTTATAATGGTAGACCGCCAGGCACCCAAATGGTGTGGATGGTATCGTGATTTTGGTCGCGATATGCGTTCGAGAAATTCGGTAGCTGAAATTAATCCGAACAATTCCTCAGAGCCTCCCCGGGTGGTAGATTCGATAGAAAATACAAAGGCACGTAACATCTTCGCAGCGCCAGTGAATCGAGCCAATCGGAGAGGATTCGGTCGTGGACGATTCGAGCCGCTCTGCGCTGGATGCGGTCAAGTGGAAGAAGCTGGCACTGAGGTGTCCCGGCCCAGAGATAGGAACGGTATTCCATGTGAGCCCAAACCTGCACCTTGTAATGTTGCAGGTGGTTTGCTGGCATGAAATACTGTCACGCTCCGCTGATCACGCTAAGCTATTTTGGAGGCCAATTTGACCTTCTTTTCCAAGTGATATACCTAATTCGATATGTCGGCGCCGCGGATTCCGATATTGGCTGAGGCAACAAGAAGCCTTGAAACTGTTAGCCTTGAAACTGTCCCATGGCAAACTACAGCCAAATATTTAGGCGTCACCCTTGATGCAAGGCTCACTTTCGAACCCCATATCAAGAAGGTTACTCACACCGCACGTTTTTACATGGGTAGGCTCAACAGCATGTTGGGCAGACACAGTAAAATGTCCCTCCGCAACAAGCGAACCCTATATAAGGTCTGCATACGACCTGTCATAACTTACGCGGCCCCCATTTTGGCACATGCTAAGCCCAAAGCTATAAATGAACTTCAAATAGTTCAAAATCTTTTGCGTCGTAGGGCCACTAACTCGCCCTATTATGTCCGTAATGCTCACCTACACCGAGACTTAGAGCTCCCAACAATCCAGCAGTTCCTTAAATCACTCTGAGAAATTTTTCTACGCCTCAGAGTCCCACTCAAATCATCTCATTCGTGAGACAGCTGCCTATGCAGCCCCTATCCACACTCGCTATAGTGTGCGCAGACCGAGAAACTCTCTTGAGACCCCCCCCAACAAGCTTTCGGCTGACCTGAACAGCCTCCTGGCGGCTCAGGCCGAGCCGACATAACACATCCCTTAATCTGCCTTAGTTAGACACACTTCCAAGCGGCTTTTCGTCGCTTGCGCCCTCCTTTCTGCCAATTAGGGTCGCGTTCGTATACGGCTTAGAGATCTCTAGTTAGTCCGTTAAGCCAGTCTCTAAAAGGCGGTGTTTAATGGGCAAAAGTCACCACATAACCTCGCAGCCGGCTGCGTGGTATGCTATGAGCATTCACCGCCTCCCTCCCCCGCTTTCCGGAGGGTTGCCCATATTTGCTTCGGGCGCAAAAAAAAAAAGCGCGCGCGCGTAGTCGGCGAGCGGCGGCGGCGTGTGACACAGCTCCGGATCAGCAAGAAGAAGCGAGCTGCGGCGTTGAAGAAAAATGGTCAAAGGATACATGACGTTAGCGGCCTGTGAAGACGACGTGGCGCTGAATGATATTTGCGGCTGTTTCTTGTTTCTTTATTAGAACGTTAAATATATACGTCAAATTATCTCGCATCGATATGCAGCACGCAGTATCTCAGTAGCCGGGGATAATTAGAAAATAAATGTTTTCTTCGCCTTCTGTGTTATGGTAGCAGCAGGGTATATATTATTTAGGGTTGATTAGCCTGGCTGCTACAAGTGTATGTAAGTCTTATCTTTCATAGCGATGATAAATTATTGTATTAGAGATTTATATCCTGTAGGTGTATTGTGTGTGGAGAACTAGAAACCCTTTTTACTGTCATTCCATATGTTTCCATATTCCTAAGGGATGTCAACTCAATATTTTGATTCTTAACTGATGATAGATGTAGGATCTATGGAACACGTCTACTTATCGTCAGGTAGACTGTGTACTTGTTTGTCACTCTGCAATAGGTCAGTTAGCTAGAGACATGAATTATGGGCACTGTGGTAAGAGGTTAAGCTTTGGTGCGATGCTAATAACGCTGCCTATTCGATTTGTTGTTTGTTCTGTCGTTATTGATTGTTGTAGACACCGTAAAACTTCCAAGTTCACAATAGTGTTGTAAATAAAATATTAGTCAGCGTAATCTAGTTCCAACACTGTTCAAAAGTCTTGCCGAATCCTGTACGGAAAGTTTTTATGTAAATAGGTTATCTAATGACGGTGAAAGGGAAGAGTTAAAGAAAAAAAGAAAGAGAAGATGAATGCTGAACTTGTTAATTGTAGTTTTAAATATTAAATTATAGTGAAGGCAAAAAAGGAATAAACCGGTTATATTCATGTTCCAAGAAATTATCTACGAACTCACATTAGAATAGTGTGGTGTACTGTGCCTAGATTCCTTCGTATCTCTAAAGTATAGGGTTCTGCTACACAGCAACACATGTATTTTTCTATTATTCAATATCCTGCCTTGTTATAGTAGAGCCATATATCCTGCCTTGTTATAGTAGAGGCAGATATAAATAATGCTTCACTGAATTTTATTTAATAGAGCAGAGTATGTTTTATTTTTTAACCGACTGAACCAGAAGGAGAGTAATGTGTTTCGAGTGTATGTATTGTCTATTTCTTTGTCATGCTCTGTAGCCTAAACGGCTTTATGGCATTTACTGTTACTTAAATCGAAATAAATATATGAAATAGTTTCGTATATCATTTATAGAAAAAAAAAATGTTAATCATGTTGACACATGCGGTCAGTTGTTGAACTTGTGATTTTTATTTGTTCACTATAGTATATGTATTCAAATAAAATACGTAATAAATATCATCCAATTAATTATTATTCTTCCTTTAAGTGGCGATTTTTCAATCGTCAAAAATATATAAATTGATTGTAATATCAAAATAAAACAATAGACCTATTTTATTCGTATAACTTTTAATTTGTTTATGTTGTATTTTATGCTGTGAAAATTTTTATCTGAGAATTGATAATTGACTCTAAAACTTACATAACTTTATTTAAGGTTTAAGCTATGTCACTTTTACATGTCTATAGGCTGTATGTCCACACTTTGCCCTTTCATCTTCAACTTTCGTCATCTTTCTATTCAACTTTCATTTGACGCACCCAATAATTGAATGCGTCTGCAAACGCTACGTCAACGTAGTCATTTCAGTTTCTGTCAGCTTGTTGAACATGTGCGACGAGAACATTTTACTTGGTGGAATATTATTACTGATATATATATATATACGAAACAAGCGGAAGTTTTCGAAGTTAAAAGTCTTCGCTCATACTTTAACAAAGAGCATCAGAAAGCCATCAAGAAAAACAGTGGCGCTGGATTCGATGAGTTGAATTATTCAATTTTTTGCTCCATAGATGTTCAAATTATATGCAGTAGCCAAGACTTGCAAACGATCGTTTCTCTTGATTCCCATATTTGTGGAAAACTTCGGTAATCTTCTATAACCTTAAATGTCATTTATTTTTATTCATCCGCCACCTTGTTGTTGATAGTTTTGTGGCAAAGAAATCTATACGCGGTAAGATGAGAATCACAGTGCGCGCTACGCTTTTAACTGTCACAGCGCCTGCGTCAACGGGCATGCCTCGCGTGGGCTGTTGACTGCGCTGTGACGCATGCCCTTGATGAGCAGAAAAAGCAGAGTGTGGACATAGCTTATTATCGAATTCAAATTCGAAAAAGGACGAGTATCCAGAATTATTTCATACCCAGTAATAATCCTTATTTTTTTTCTCCGCCGCTGCATAGTCAAGGATGGGTTATGGTCGCATCAACTAAATTCCTATAGTTACCCATTTTCGTCGCATATTAGCTGGGCCGTGGGAACGCCTTTATACAGATCCGCGACCCAATAGGCGCCAATCGTCAACGAGAAGCAGCACCAAAAAGCGACACTTAAGAAAAAATATACTAGCAACACTAACATTACTAATATTCCCTATAGCAACTCCTGGTAAAGTTAAAATCCTTATCTTAGAGTGGTTCACGATAGTAGTCAAATGGCAGATTCGAACCCATGACGTTTGAGTTTGCGGTCCACATCCTACCATCAGGTCGCACAGTCGAAATACTGTCTACTGTCGTGTTTGGTTTTGCGATCGTCAATGTGACGATTAAGGCATATCCCCCCTCCCAACCCTCCGTCCCTATATCCAGCAGTAGACTTTGAAGAAGAAAAGAATGGAAATGAGGGTTAATAAAAAGTCAAGTTACCAAGTTATGCAGTTTAATAACATTTTATTATATAGGAAAACAGAAATTTAAATAATTAACCAACTTAATTGTTATCACATAATCATTTTGTTGTTGGAGAAATCTAACGCCAATATAAAGCACGACTAATTCGTAAATTCTCAATACATTGTTTTGTAGAACGTTAATAAGTTACAAAATGACAACGAATAAACCTTGATTCTATTTGGCAGTTTCGAGAAATGCTCATGCGCGCTGGGGTCTCATGAGCCATCTGTTGTGGTGATAAGATCACCGAATTATTTAAATTTCTGTGGATAAATCATATTAATAAAGCATATCTTAAGTAACGAAACAATGTGTAAACTATCAGATCTGTAACAATGCAGTATTATAATTTTACGAGGCACGACTAGATTAAAGCTAAAATTATTTTATTTATATATTGGTTTATACATTTAAGCTTTACTGTTATCATCCTCAATAAGTTTCACAAAAACGGGCATAAGCCTTCAACTTTTTCACAGTCAAGCTTGGTCATGGTGAAATAGTGCAAAACTAGACTGGTAGAAAGTGCTTCAGTCCACCTATATACACGTGTGTGTATATGAACTTTTAAAGAAATAAATAAGGAAAAAAATATTATCTGGCTTAATTTTACATATTTTTAGAAAAAGACACTATAAAAAGATAAATATCCTAAAAATATAAATTAGTTGAATATATAGTATAAAAAAACAATCAACATACATGAAATACTCCAAACTCAAATTAGTCTTTTTATATCTAAACATTATACAAACATAACACTTTATTTGGCACATTAAAAAAAATCCTTAAATATTATCTTACAGCTGTATGCTTGCATGTATGTCTAATGCATATCTTTACATAGTCGATATGCTCGGTGCCCTCTTTGCCTTCATATATACTCAAAACTTGGAATTACTTCCCAACATACTTAAAATTCTTGTATCTATCCTATTTATTCTCGACTGGCGTCTGTCTTTCCGTATGATTATAATTTGGGTCTCTTCAAGGCAAGAAAGAATAGGCTTCTGTTACGCTTACGGTAGGCTATATTTTTACATGGTAGAGCCACGCTGCAGCTATGATATGGTTGTAGCACGAATGGGTCGGCTCGACCGGGGCATTTTTATTCTTAATCGAGGATAAATATAGATGACTGTAGGCCACAGCATCTACTTACCAACAGGTGGACTGTGTGTTCGTTTGTCACGCATATTCAATAATAAAAAAAAAACGCCAGGACATTGCGATTTACCATCGAAGGAATTGTAGCGAAGTACTGGCTTATAATAAGTTAAAAATGACTGCCTATTAAACCTTCTTTATGATAAACATCAATTTTGAAAATAGACCAGCAAAGCCGAAATTTAATTTTACTGAAAACATATTCTTAATTTAAACTAGCTATACTTAATTTAAGGCTAATCAGTCATCCGAGTTACTAGCGTCGGTTACGGCAAAGTGGCTTTCTCTGAAACAATAATAAAGAAAAATTATCGCTTACTTAAGTATTAATATTGTCATTTAGTAAATAATTGGGCAACTTTAAGAATTCGTTAAGTTAACTTCGATTTTTCTAAGATCGTAAATTTTTAAATAAGGCAGATGGGTGGCAGCGTAAAAAGTTAACGTGTGGCGTAATATATCCAGACCGATGACGGTAGCAGTGTCAGATGCTATTATCTGGTCTTTCGATCATCAATCCGTCTCCCAAATCGTCTTCAAAATTAAATCTCGTAAGTGTCGTCTCTTAAATGACACACAGTCTCATGTACTCGTAACTGAGGTATTAATCATCTTTATACCTGTCTCTTTCTTATGACATAAAGTGAAGAGAGAAAGAGCAACTAATCACTTCTTAAAGTAACAGATCAGGATAGCAACAAGTGCTACTACAGGACATGGCTTCTTTAACAAACATTAATTTACCATAGGTGTTACAGATCGTCCCCTGTGCAGGGCATGTACGGGGGAGGACGCGGCCCACATGTTGCTGGCATCTGTTAAACTTCTTCGGGGAGATTTCATGGCTCGATTAATCACAATATTCTTGCCCACACGCAAAATACTTGCTTAGACGTGGAGTTGCGGAAAACAGCTCGTCGTAAACCAGACTAAACTAAATTAAGCATTTCTTAAATTTATCGATTGATTTTATGAGTAAATTTTAACTGGACTATGTTGGACTCACAGTCTGATCCAGATTTTATGCGTGGTGAAGTGCTCCGTGTGGCGCAGGGCAAGCAGGGCCCGCTGGCAACACTGTGCCATACTTGCGTCGCTAGTTGCAGTCCGCGTGTGAGACAGCCATTCCAGCATCTGAAACAGAGATATATCTTGTGCCATTTGCTGCTTTTCTCCGCGACACCACCTAGGGTAGGGGGAGAGGACACCTCTCATGTCATAGTCCACTAATACATCCGGAGTGAGTTTGACAAGCCCCTTTTTCCCATTTCCCTTCATTGACCCCGAGATTCAATTTTAGTTCTTCAGTTTCTTTTACATATTCATATTATTACTAATAACAATATATATAATAATAAAATAACAATAATCTTTATTTGCGTAAAACATGGTATCGATGTTGTTAACATGTTTGCTTATTTTACATGCAATAATATTTTTAAATAATGTCAAATATTTCCTTAGCTATTTGATATAAAATTAGTTATTATTAATAATCAGTGAGTTGCAAATACGAAAAGGCATCCGATTCATCGTAATGCTGTAGCAGAAATGATACGGATTCAGCGCTGTTATGCTGTCAGTAATTCTGTCGCTCAATACATAAAAATAACATTGATATTGAACTATCTATTCTAATGAAATAAGTTGAATTTACAATTTGGTAACTATAATAGATATCCTTAAGTGGGCAAGCCACTTGGAAAAAATAGATAACACCAGAGCTGCTAAAATCATCTCCAAGGAGAATCCACTAAAGAAAAGACCCAGAAAGCTGTGGAAGGATTGAGGAAGACCTGAAGAGCATGAGCAAGAAAACAGGTTGAAAGAATAATAAAGATAAAGAATAAGAAAGAGCACCTGCCGTCGTCAGTCGCTTGCGTGCACTAATCGCGTCACCACTAATCCCAGAATCACTACTCCCAACACCACTATTCTAGGAAAGACACACAATGCTCTTCAAACTAGGTAAGACACATCGTTGTATTTAATTGAGCGGATGATTGCAAAGTAACTATTAATATCTTTATTATAATGGATTTCCGCAAAGTAACGCCTGATTCTTTTAATTAGGTTGGATGAATGCCAGAGACTGAACGGAAAGGAAGAAGAGAGTTGATGAGATTCAGACCCATAAAAATAATCGTAAATATATAGGTTAAAACAGCATATTTTCTTAAGTTACCACTCTGTGAAACGTGTGTTGGGTAATTTTAAACATTGAATGCCATCTCTGCAAAATTAGTAATATACGAAAAAACAAAATACCTGAAGAGTACAGTGGGTCCACGGCTCGCGAGCGAGCAGCGTGGCGGCGGCCGCTGGCAACAAGGCCTGGCGACAAGCGCGGCTCCTGATCAACACTTCGATGTCCGGCTCGAAGGTCCAAATCCCGCTGAACACTATAACGCTCAACATGAACACGTCACACAGGTACAGCTTCGCAGACTCATCTTCGGTTCTGGTAAATAAAAAAATTGAAAAATACAAATTAAGTTCAAGTTATGATCGAATCTAGTCTGAACTTATAATAAACTAGCTTGCCAGGCAGACGTTGTTCTGCCCTTTTCGACGACCCTTTGTCATGTCCTATTAAAAATCCTTAAATTCACAAAGAATTGTGGCTCACTTGTGGGCAAAAAACTATCCTATCTCTCAAGTTGGATTAAACTGCACACGGTGTGCAAATTTGATTAAAATCGGTTAAGTAGTTTAGGAGTACATCGCGGACAAACAACGTGACACGTAATTTATATATATTAAGATATTAACTGCGGTTATGCGAACTTCACAAATAATATAATACAATAGTAAAAGTACACATATAAAAAATCTCAATTCATAATTGGGATTAAATGGATGGATTAAATGGATTTAAAGTTGATCCTACGCAAATTGTATACCACAACCTTTTATCAAAAAAAAAAATTCGATGTACAACTTATGAATAGAAAAGTTAAGGTATAAATATACGTTGATCGAACCCGGGTTGCTAACGTACTGCGAAATGTACAGCGAGCGCTTAGCCCCCGAGCTACCACGGCTCTTATTATAAAATAGAATATATAAGACATTTTCACTTCACCACATTTTCACCACCAAATACTTTTAACTTATGCTTATGAAGTCAAACACTACATTAGAACAAATAACGAAGACCTTAAAACATCAGATCCTACTAACAACCTCCCGCTCAAAAACATGAAATTAAAAACAAAGTGCAGAAACTACTCAATGATAATGTGATTCAGGAAATGTTTTCCCTTTGGTCAGTCACACTCAATTTAAATACTAAAAATAAAGATGCATCCAGTGAAATAAAGTATAGGACCGTTACCTATAGAATATATATGTTTAAACGACATAACTGTAAACGATAAGTACTCTCTAGCAAACATACATATACATTTGGTAAGACAACTTGTTTTTCAACCTGGAATTTAGCTAGTCGATACGATCAAATTGAGATAAACGAGTCTGGTAGACCAAAACCCGTGTTCAGTATCGAGAACCGACAATGAATACCTTAGAATGCCCTTTGACCTGAAAACAACTCCTGCGGCTGGAGTCCAGCCACCATCCAAAGAGCACGGATAACATCTTAAGGGGCTTACAAGGAATTCATTGCCTAGTATAGCAGCTTAACACTGCTGTGTTTTATATGGTGAGTGTAGAGAACCGGAAACCCTTTTTACCGGAAACGAGGCATTCTATCTTAGTCCTCACGGGTGATAACGCATCTGCATTTTGATTCGTAATCGGGGATAGAAGTAGATGTCTAGGGGCCTCAGCAACCAATTACTATCAGGTAGGACGTGTGCTCGTTTGTCACGATTATCGTATAAAAAATTGTCTCCAGAAGCCTCCAAGAACATTTACAAAAATTAAGGAGTTTTTGACAGATTGGGATCGACTAATTTAAAAATACAACTTGACATACGACAATTAAAGCCTATGCCTTAATCAAGCGTTGCTTATAAAGATTGCACCAAGTTGTAAAAGAAAAATATATATAAATTAAAAAATAAATGGCTTATTAGTGTCGACAATCGCGTGGTCGAGTTATCAGAACACCTGCCTCCTCCCACCATGAGTTTCAGGTTCGTGTTACAGTGGAAACCAATATTTGTCTAAACCAATTGAGGACTGGTATCTGGTATCGATATTTTTTTTTATTCATATGGCTTACTATACAGTCAAATTACACAATAACAATCTTAAATAATAGAATATTTTCTTAAGCTAAGTGTAGTGGCTACTTACTAGTAAACACAGCATGCATTATAACTTTTACTTAAGTAGGTTTTGATTTATAATTTAACTTAATAATTTTAAAACAGATATTGCGAGCTAATCTACGTAAGTATGCGGACGGATAGCATATATATGTTATGAATGTTAAGAAGAGAGCTTTCGATCATTCTAGCCTGGTGTAGTTTTTGCAATTGAATATGTTAAGCGGGCTTTACTTCTGGAAAACACGTATCTGTATACGTGATCAAAGTGTGCGTGAGACCAAAATGAGGTATCGTGAACGACGACACGCTCGCAATTGATCTTCACTCGACTTTGTGAATTGCAGGAACTATACTATGAACATTTTAGATATTTTTATAATCCAAAAATATAGCAAATGCCCCGCCAATGATAAAAAACAACGCCCGAAATCCAATCTGCCTGATTATTTACATTGAAGAAAGACATGAATGAATTGAATCAATTTTTTAACTTCCCGCTAAGAAAATTTTTAGGGAAGTTTTCACCCCGATTTTCTAAAATCGAGTTTTCATCAGATCTCGACGTTTTGAGATCCCAGGAAGATATACTGACTAATTTCACGTGGACGTCCTTACGGATTGTACGTATTAACGTAATATTTATGTATGTATGTGTGTGTGTAAGTACGTAAACCTTACATAACTTTTGACGGCGTTCTAAAGATCTCAATGTGGAATAGATTCGGTGATAATATGAACAGATTCGGACGAGTAGATTTTGAGAAATCTCAAAAATAAAAATTTTGAAAAACTGTTTTTGGAATAACTTAAACGGCTTTACCGATTGATTTCAAAAACTAATCAGATCTTATTCTCAAACGCCTTTTGGAAAATAAAAATCGATTTATTCGTTCGTGAGATATCGAAGGAGAAAGAATTTGAAAAAAAAAAACGTTTTATTGACATAACTTCTAGATTACGCAACCGAGGAAGTTCGTGCTTTTTACATTATTTGTAAAACTTTAAAAACTGCGTCGAATGCCGTTTTGAACATGAAAATCGATCTATCCGTTCATGAGATATCGAAGAAGAAAAATTTTGAAGAAAACGTTTTTTTAACATACTTCCCGCCAACTTTTAGCGGGAAGTTTCAGGAATGACTAGGGTCAACCAATTTTTTTTATTGAGTTCTATGACAAAATAAACTTACTCTTTAAATGCCACCTGTGTACGCGCCATAAGTTGCAAGAACCAGTCCTTGGTAGAGTCATCGTTCGGCTTCGCTTGCCGTAGTGCCGGGAATATACACCGCAGCGAATATTCTTGTTCGCTAAACAAAAAAAATATTCAATCAAATTGTTAATATACTGGAGTTTAATTATTATTTTACTGTAGACACACTGTACCAAGTACATTGCAATATGTGCGTAAGTTATACTCAGCACTTTAGTCACTTAAGTCAGTTCCCGACAAACATTGTATATCCACATGTATTATAAATTAAATTGTGAAATTAGTTACTTTTACAATAATTAACAAGTTTTTGCTAGCAATATCAAGAACAAAACAATAACCTCTACACATAATATAGCATAAATAGCAACATAATGTTGCATGTTTTGAAAGGAGAATAAAGAAAACTAAAAATCCCTTTTACTTGTAACGCCCGCACTCAACCTGCGCTCCGCTACTACTCCAGCGGAGCTACAACGCTAATGTGGTGGTGTGGTGGTGTGGTGGTTAGGCCGTGGGGGAGAAATGTGTCGGTATTGAGATGTACCTCTCTTCCTATTTTCCGCGGTGCACACTTAGTAGACCGATCCGCTGAGCCTGGAAAGTTTGATGTTGTTGGGTATAGATCGTGATCTTGTGGGGCGGGACTTTCCAAAATACAGAAGAGGAAAAGAAGGAGGAGTGTTTTTCTCTCAATGACGGTCCGCACGCCGCACACTACTCACGTTGAGCCAGGGTAGCAGCGTACGCGGCCCGCACGCTGTATACGTACACTCACATGTATCGACTATCTAGGGCAGACAGAGAGCCGTAGTATGGTACGACGAACTATGTTGCTCTCGTCTGAGAAATTATCCGCCCTTGACGATTTAGAGCGTAGACGACATCCATGGCGGTGACGGTTTACCTATTCGCGTGCTCAATGTTATGACAGCGTCACGAATCACGTTCTCAAGGAACACCTTGAGTACACCGCGTGTCTCCTCGTAGATCACACCGACCCTGCGAGCGAGACGTCGGCTAGCCGGTTTGATGATACCCTGGATGTTACCACGAAGAACCTTTCTATGCCATTTCGCTCCACCTTTCCCTAAATCTTGTTGTTGTTTTGATGTTCCTTTCGTGTGGTAAGTAATGACGAGGCATTCGATCTTAGTCTTAGGGCAACAACACATTTCTGCAATTTAAATCTTAATTGATTATATTGATACTCCTTCGTACGCATGTGTACGCATCAACAGGTCGTTTTTTAATTCATGAAAATAAATATAAAGTCATAAACGAACTTACTGTCCAGCTGTTGGTTAATAGTTAAAACAGCTAACGCTGCACACTACTCACGTTGAGCCAGGGCAGCAGCCCGCGCGGCCCGCATGTTGCGCTCTACTCGCGTGGGCAGCTGCGCGCACACATCCACGGCATCGTTGAGCCAGGGCAGCAGCGCGCGCAGCCCGCAAGTGTTGCGCTCTACTCACGTGGGCAGCTGCGCGCACGCATCCACGGCATCGTTTATCCAGGGCAGCGGCGCGCGCGGCCCGCACGTTGCGCTCTACTCACGTGGGCAGCTGCGCGCACGCATCCACGGCATCGTTTATCCAGGGCAGCGGCGCGCGCGGCCCGCACGTTGCGCTCTACTCACGTGGGCAGCTGCGCGCACGCATCCACGGCATCGTTGAGCCAGGGCAGCAGCGCGCGGCCCGCACGTTGCGCTCTACTCACGTGGGCAGCTGCGCGCACGCATCCACGGCCTCGTTGAGCCAGGTCAGCAGCGCGCGCGCCGCCAGCGCGGCCCGCACACCACAGGCCTTGCGCACCAGATCGCCGCTCAGCTCCCACCAGCCGCTAGGTGACGTCATGCGCTCCAAGTACACGCAGCCCAGTGCGCGACAGCACGACACATACGCCTCCCACGCCTGCCCATTACCACTCTTTACTTAGTACGTTACACAACAATTAATTACTCATGCACGCACGCACACGCAACGCGCGCGCAAGAACGCACGCACACACTTACACAGATTCATACTGTATTGCTTTTTTAATAACCATAAACTACATTGTGCAGTTTTGTGACCATAAAATAAAATGTTCTATCAATTTTTTTATGTCATGTAAAGGAAAAGGGGAGATTTCCCGCCGGGCATTGTGATAAGCGTGGGGAGGGGCCTACGCTCCGTGTATAAGTTTACATGTTACAGAGCTCTTCCATATATACAGCAGTACTTCGGAACTTTGATGGCGCGATTTAGGCATCGGTGCATTTCGCTTGTGGCGCGACGACAGCGCCGCCATAAACGTAAGAAAGTGAAATTTTGTTTTCTATGAAGTCTAAGGAATCTAATGCCGTGTGGTGGTTGCGTAACAGCTCATTGTGTCTCGTAGAAGTCGTAAGAGGCGACCGTGCGAAAAACCAGAAAAATGTTATGATTTCAGTTACACCAGCATTTACGTACCCAAACTGGCAACAGACTATAGTGGAGTAATAATGTTGATATAAATAAATATTCATTGTAAGCTATAGAGCAGTAATAAACGGCCCGTCCCACAAAGCTGTCGTGTCATTTCAACATCCCCGCACCTCACCTCATGGCGACCCTGTCATGCGCGGGCGTTTTGGGTTCGCGGTGGCGTACATGACACAATTTGCAGCGCATGCACATTTTAAGAACTGGACTTTAGCCATGGCGTCAATAGGAAGGCGTATTATTACCAACGGAGGTGCGAACAAGTACGATGGAATTTTTTTACATTTTGTTATGAAGAATAATAGTGCAGGTAAAGTTTACGAAAATGGACAAATCCCAATCCAAATCCGAGCCTAAAGACTGTTATCGCGCAAAGTGTCGCGGGAACCAATAGTACAGAGGCTGCCCAGCACACCTGGATTAACAACATATTGCTCTCGACGGTGCTGGCAATACTGGTTGCAGCGTTTGGCTACCTAGCTTATCGGCAATACAGAACATGCCATAAAAATTTAATTCAACGTTCCGACATATACCGGAGAATGTGTTTGAGATTATCGTGGCGTTCAGGACATCCAGCCAGGGACCAGGACGGCAAGGATGAATCAGTTGTGTAAGCTCCGAGATCCAGCTACATTTCCAGTGTGATGAGATAGACTACTACTAAAGGTGCAACATAAAGCTACAATTTATTTCTAAATTTTGATTTTCGAGATTGATTTACAGTCAAAATGCTTTAGCTATGCGCAAAGGAGACAAATAATTTACATTAACCGTGATTTTAGCTTACATTTCACGCGAGCCGAATTTGTAGCTAAATTAAGTGAGTTCTGAAAAAAAAATTAATGTTAAAGAAATATGCATATTAAAAACGGAAAATAACGCGTTATTTTTGAAGAGCTTAATAAAAGAAGTAAAGAAAAGTAAAGATTGGGCCGGCCCACGAATATATATTTTGAGAGGTATTAAAAGAATATATATGACGAAACCGAGAAATCATTTATTATTAATGATTTCCATTTATTACCCGCAAGTGGACATGCGGGTATTAAAAGAACTATAAATAATATAAGGTGACTTTATTATAGGCCAGATATAGAGAAAGATGTAAAGGAATTTATTGGTAAATGTGAAAAGTGTCAAACGATGAAACACTCACGGCATGTCATAGAGCCTTTGGTGATAACAACTACATCTCATTCAGCTTTCGAAAAAGTGTTCCTAGATGTGGTAGGACCCTTAGATCGTGATATAGACGATGACAAATACATTTTAACCATTCAGTGCGAATTATTGACATTTATAGAAGCACATCCACTCAAAAATAAAGAAACTGTCACTATTGCTACAACATTTGTTAATAATTTTATTTTAAGATTTGGTATACCTAAAATAATAGCGACGGATAGCGATAGTGAATTCATTTCCTCAACTATGACTGAAATATGTAAGCTATTGCAAATTGAAAAAATAAACTCTACAGCATATCATCACGAGTCTTGAAAATTCTCACAAGCATTTAGGATCATTTTTGCGTATTATGTGTGATAAATATCCTGACACATGGAGTAATTGGATTCCATATTGGTGTTCTAGCTATAATAATACGGTGCATTCTTCAACGAAATATACGCCTTACGAACTTGTCTTTGCTAAACCAAGTGAACTTCCTTGTAGAATAAGTAGTAGTATAGAACCATTGTATAATCCTGATGACTATAACTTGGAATTAAAGTATCGATTACAAGTTGCACAAAAAGATGCACGTGAAAACTTATTAAATACTAAAGAACTCAGAAAACATGTGTAAGTTAAAATTGTGGTAAGTTAGATAAGTTATACGACGGTCCATTTGAATTGTTAGAGGATAAGGAACCTAATGTAGTAGTATTAAGAAACTCTAAACCAGACATTGTGCATAAGAATAGGACAAAACGTTTTGTACCATCTAACTAATTTCAATTATTAAAATGTCTGTGTAACTAATACTGTGTAAATAATGTGTAATATAATAAATTTATTTTTAATTAATAAAATTAATTACACTTCAATGTAATTGCTAAATTACTAATAGAATAATATTAAGTAATAGATGTGTGTTTTTAGTTTTGTAATGAAACTTAGTAATGTGAAAATATTATGAATTTAATGAGTATACTTGTATAAGTTAAAATTTCAAAAAAAATCTTCGATTGAATTTTTTTTATTTTAGCCCCGTAGGTGTAGTGGAGTAATAAGGTTGATATAAATAAATATTCATTGTAAGCTATATAGCAGTAACAAACGGGCCGTCACAAAAAGCTGCCGTATCATTTCAACATCCCCGCACATCACCTCAAGACAACAACGTTAAAGGTGCAAAATTTTATTTTTTTAAATTTATTATCAAATAAAAATTTATAAAAATTTGCAATGCGGCACAGCGAAAAACCACGCAGGTTTGTGTTGTGTGCCGTTCCGTCTACATTTATATAATACTATTTATTACAAAAATGGGGATAACAGCTAATATTTGTTAAGGTAAAAACATTTTAATTTATACTTTATATTATCTTTAGTAAGTTCACTTCTAAATTTATTATCCAGACCATTTATTAGGCGAGGTATTATGTATGCGCTGATGCGCTCACCATATATATTTTTGGATGGTATTGTTATTAATTTTTTTTGAGTTACTTTGCGGGTCAGAATTTTGTTTGAAACTGTATGCTGTATACCTAAATTAAAGAATTGTTCCTTTAACAATTGATATTGGACTTTATCATGGATATTGAGTACCTTACAGAATTTAAATATAAAAGTTTCATTTGTTTTTGCCTGAAGTTTAATTTTTATAGGTACAATCGCATTTAAAATCCTAAGTTGTAGTTTATTAATGTACTGTAGGTGTGATTTGTCTGTTCGTCCGTAGCTGCTTAGCCCATAAGTTATGGCTGAATCAGCAAGGGCGTTATAAAGCATCATTTTGACTCGAAAGTTTAATCGCTTTCTAATTATAAACATGTTTGCCAAAAATGCTCTAAGCTTATCACATACATGATTTATATGTACGTGCCAATTAAACTTATGATCTATTATTAAGCCTAAATATTTATGCGAAGTAACTAATTCAATCGTGGAACACTTACAATTAAGTTGAGGTTGGTGGAGGCAATTATGATCTTGTGCGATGATTTTATGTTTTAATATGCTGTGAGACTTTAAGTTTGGTGAGTGTATATGGACTAATTTGGTCTTTTGAGAATATAATTAAATAAAAATATAAGTCTATAACGAGAGAAGCACATATCCAGCAGAGAATATTAACGAGCTGACATGAAATCTAGCGTAATTCATCGTTAGAAATACAAATGGAAATGAAATGAAATGAAATGAAAAAATAAAAGTTACTGCTATATTTTAATTATTTGATTAAAATATAGAAGTAACTTTACAATTTAAACAAAAGCGCCACCGGGGACTGATAGAGTAACCCCTTTTTATAAGACAATTTAGTTTCGCATTTATGCATTATTTTTAAATGATCTTTAAGTGTCGAAATCTGTATTTGTAACGCCAGTACATCAAAACGGTGAGTAACATAATGTAAAAAATTAGAGGACTATATCTTAATTATGCATCTTTGGTAACATGTTTGAAATAATTGTTTAGCGTCAGGTATACCACATTACAGTAGTTTTATTCCGAAACAACATCAGTTTTTAAGACAAAATTTGTGCCCAATCTGTTTTTTAATAATTATAATTCTTTACAAAGAAGCACAAGTTGATACTATATTTCCCGATTTCAGTAAAGGTTTTGATCGTATACCACCACCTGCTGCTCCACTAGAAGTTTTATAACACTGGTATACACGATAACATATACAAATGGTTTTCGTCATATATTAGTAAAAAATCCCAGTTTACAATAAATGGATTTCCGTCCGTGTGAATATCAATTACTTCTGGTATGCCTCAGGGTTCTTTGTTAGAGCCCTTGCTATTTGTTGTTTTTATTAATGGCATTGCTTTTACGTTTTGAACTTACCAGTCTTATTATTCAAAAAAAGATAATTCAAATTATTCGAAACAAGATCGATTTAAATGTTTCAAAATGTTTCGCAATGACTTTTTCGCGGAAAGTCCACCACTTAAAATTATCAGTAAATTATTAAAAATAAGTCCATTAAAGTTACATCTATGAAAGAAATATTTAAGATTAATCCAAGATGCTAAAGGTTTTGTATGATAAATACATCGATTACGCAATAAGAAATGCCTTAATTTTTTTATCATAAGGTTTTGTCATGAGGTCTGTAATCCATTAAAGTTACTTTTTGTGCTTATGCGCATATTAACGCACTTTGAGAAAGTAGTTTGTTCAGAATCGTTTACTGAATCGATTCCTATCATTTTTAATATAGGTAATTTTTTATCCCAAAAATAATTAAAACTACGTAAATTACAGTCACACTAAATCTGTATAGTCAAAACGAACTGAAATGGACCGTAACTTAAGGCAATAAGATTTTTAAGAGTGCAGTTTTATTTGTATTATTACAAATTCTGTCATTCAATAAAAATAAAGAAAAATGAACTTTATTTCAAGCACGTTAAAGTCTTTGCATTCGTGGATTTGTACTGTGACCACAACATTCTTCCGGAATTAGTATAACTAATTTGATAAATAATCAGTGCATAAAAATGTTTAACTTAAAATTCAGTGTATGTATTATGATTATAACATAATATACTAATTGGGGTGTCTGAGGGTGTACGTTAATTACGTTACATATTGTATATAGTTTCTTAAGTTATTTACATCTTAAATGTAAGCAAGTAGATCACGGACACAAGACGAGGTGTAAAAGATCAATTTATACCTAGGCAGAAGATGGCAAATATTTAAAAAGTTTAAGTGAAAGTTACAGCCTATACATTCCACTGCTGGGCACCGGCCTGCTCTCATTTATGAGAGGTAAAATTGTTAGTGGTTTCATTGATTGCCCTTCCTAATTTGCTCTAATAAGGAATGGATTAACACCTGGATACCACGCAAATAAGCTATAAGACGAACCCAACCTCTAGCAATAAAGAGCTAACACTAACTTATAATCGCAACTCTTTTGTTAGTAGCGCAAGTAATTTTTTCAACAACTTCTCATTAGGTTAAAATAGCAACTTGGAATTATTTCGGATTAAACCTTCAAATCTCAACAAGCTGTTTGCCTCAGAGTTTGATTCGGCTCCCACATACGTGTGCTACAAATGTTAAGACTCTTTCCCCTTTTTTAAATATTTTTTAATTGATCGATTTTGTTTTGAGGTAAAGCTTGCTTGGAATGAAACCTACATACTACACTATTACATAGCTATTGAAACTTTAAATTTAAATGTATCAAAGATGTTGGTGTTCCGAATAAAATAGAATAAAGTAGCAAGAGTCACTATTTATTTAAGTATTTTTACGAGTCATTCATTTGAACGACGTACTATTAAGTTTTCATTTATTTTTTTGGGTAATTCATTTCATGTCACTATACGTATAATTTTGTGAATAGTTTTATTTATAGAATATGGGTGACACTTGAGCACACAGTCCACCTGATGTTAAATGGATGCGGTGGCTCACAGACATCTACATTTATCCTCGAAGACTAAGATGAAATATGAATCATAGCAGCATTAAGCTGCTATGTGGTGTAGTGATTAAGTATAAAGTATAAAATCAGATAAATCATACAGGTTCCCTGTTCCCTTACAATTAACTTTTTGGCATCGTAAATGTCCCACCCTTTTATTTTCAATTCTTTGTCTTTTTGTATTTTTAGAGGGAAATTTTATGTTTTAGAAGTTCCTAAATTTTTTTTTGGCTCTAATATATAAAAAAGTGAATCATATGTGATACATGAACGTGTCGTATCGTATTTTTACTTTGAACGTTCGATGAATCATTTATGATATGCATCACATTTGATATATTGGACGTACTAAGTAGATGGCAATCAGATGTTTATTCTTTTGTCTGTGAAAAAAAAATTATAAGAACATTGACATAATATGTCAATGTTCTTACATGTGTGACATAATATGTGAAATTGGAATAAATCACAGATAATTATATTATTATTATCTGTGATTTATTCCAATTTCATTCAGTCGTAAATATAACCTTACTTTCTGACAAATTTTTTGAATTTGATGAAGAAATTTGATTTTTGAAGCTATTGTTTTTTACTGTGCATGGAAAATGGGATCCAGAAATTACACAGAAGAAGAGTTACTGAGAATTTTAGAGGAAAGTGACGAGGGCGATTTCAGTGATGGAAGTGACGAACTATTTGTGTCGGATGAAGATGTTGGGGATGAAAGCGGAGACGAGTCAATAGGCAATATTGAAAGAGTAGTATCAAAATCAAGCACACAAGAATTGTCGCCGATAAGAGAATGTTTTTATGGTATTCCAGAAGAAAATTTTTTGGAAGTTGACAATGAACGTGCTCAGCCAGAGGCGATAACAGTGATAATATAGTTAGTATGTAGTGGTCAGAATACATTCTTTCAATAGGAAGAGAGCAGTTTATAGGAAATTCTGGTCTACAGAATCTTGAAGCTGTGACAGGTGAAGAGGGTACCGTCACAATTCAGAAAATCATGGAATATTTTATAAACGACGATTTATTTGACTATATGGTAGAAAAAACTAACTCCTATGCCCAGAATTTCAAGAGAGTACGAACAAAACAATTTTCACGAATGTCCCGATGGGTCGACGTAGACAGACAAGAACTGAAAAAGATTTTCGTTTTCATACTCCTTATGGGAATTGATAAAAAACCTTCAGTGGAACATTACTGGAAGATGGATCCTTTGTATTATTGTGACTTTATTCACAAAATATCTATATCATACAATAGATTTACAAACATACTGCGTTGTTGGCATTTTGAAGATGTGCAGCCTGATAATGACAATGTTTTGTATCGGATACAAGCACTTGTTGACAGAATGGTCCAAAACTTTCGAGAATTATATGTACCCACTGACAAAATAGTGGTTGATTAATCTCAAATCAACCATCAAGGACGGTTGAAAATAAAAACATACAATCCATCTAAAAGTCATAAATACGGCATCAAAATATATTAATTGTGTTCCACCAATAGTTACACATGGTCGTATACGATACACGCAGGTTCTGGTTCTGCCATTGAAGGACTTGGTAAACCTGGATCAGTGGTGGTGAAGCTATGTCAGCCGCTTTTAAATTAAGGAAGACTAATTGTAGCCGATAACTATTACACTGGCATAGCTCTCGCCAAATATCTAAAAGACCGACACACTGATTTATGCGGAACATTACGCAAGAATAAGGTAAATATACCTAAAGAAGTTGTACAGAAAAAACGGAGACGAGGAGAAGTTGTGGCGCGACAAATGGATAACTGTATAACAGTTATAAAATGCACGATAAGCGTGATGTTCTAATGATTTCAACTTGCCATTTTGACGATATGACAAATTATTTAATAATAATAATAATAATAATAAGCCCCCTAAACAACCACACGTCCTGATTGACCATCTAATCACGTGGGGGGCGGACACACGAATGAGAAATTACTGGCATGGCTAACGTGGCTCTGGAAACCCATAAATAAAATGGAGACTCGTTCTAAAAGTAAACGTATAGGGCCGCTACCCGGGGGCGATCGCCGGGGTGTACCTGGAGCTGACGCTGGGTGTCACAGCATGCGATCCGTCAGCGGTGAGGAGTTGAACAGGCGGGCTCCCACCCACAAAGATACTACAGCCGAACTCATTGACGATGGTGACAGACTGACGGACAGGACAGACACCCCTGTAGAACCATATAGTCCAAGCACAGTATCATACACACCCTCGAGGCCAACATCACCATCCATACCATCGTCACCAACACCTCCATCACCCCCTATTACTAGTTTAAATACAGTTTCACCTACTCCGACCTTGAGTGCTGCGCGGGAGGTATCTACCTTCTTACCCGCGTCCACCAAGGCTGGAAAAGCAAGAGTTCGAATGAAATGGAGTAAAGAAGTAAATCTATTTATCATGAGAACTTATCTATACATTACTAAATTAGAGACCGATATGACCACGTACAGACAACAATTACACGCACATTTCACTCGACAATATCCAGAAATTACTGTTTCAGAACAAAGAATCTCAGACCAAAGAAGAACCATAGTTAGGAATAAACTTCTATCCCAAGAAGTTATAGATCAATTAAAAGAAGAAGTACGAACACAATTAATTCAAGAAGAAGCGACTAACAGCTATGTAGAAACTAATATCACACAAAACACAAGTGAAAATGATCGCCAAGTACAACCACAATTGCTCAGTCAATCACAACTCATTTATACACAATCTCAGCCATGCGACCATTCACAAATATCACACACATCCACACAAACCGAAACCGTAATCCTAACGCTAGAAAATGATATTGAGACCATAGTTGTCCCAGATCAACACTTAACAACAGATACATATATCCAAGAAATCAATGAGAAATTTAGAACAACAATAACGTTATACTCTGGGATGGATCCCGCAGCGCGACCAAGATTACCTAAACTTAAGTACACACCTAACCTGTTTCGACTGGTTAATTTATTTAATGAAACTATACTCACACAATATATATCTGATGACACACAACTTATAGACATACATTTACTTATATACTGCACAGCGATAGTAATATCCGAAGAATTGAACTTTAAAATCACAGACAATGCAAGAACTACAAGAACAAGACAAAATACAGAACCAGCATGGCAACAGAGACTAGAAAAAGACATTGAAAAATTAAGAGCAAACATAGGTAGACTCACTCAGTATATTAACGGTTGTAGATCTAATAAACTAGTCAAAAAAGTAGAGGTCATATTTAGGAATAATGCTACGCATACCAGACACGAAAAAAGTAACACAAGACCTGAAGAATTTTTAGACACGTTAAAACAAAAATTAGCACTTAAAGTTCATAGGCTCAAAAGGTATAAAAAAGCACAACAGCGCAAAAAAGATAACGTCAGATTTGCCACAAACGAAAAATTGTTTTATAGAAACTTACACAAACCACAAACAGACATAATCGATGAACGTAACACACATACACCTAACTTACCTACAAAAGAACAACTAGAAGCATATTGGGCGAGTATTTGGGAAGAGCAAAAACAACATAACGACAAAGCATCTTGGATAATTGAAGAGGAAGCAAAATGGAGAGATATTGACGAAATGGAATTCGAAGAGGTAACAGAGTTAGACATAACACTCATTACAGCTAGGTTACATAATTGGAAATCACCTGGTATAGACAAAATTCATAATTTTTGGTACAAAAAAATTAACGTCTCTACACAAACCTTTAGCAAGAAATTTAACAGATATAATAACAGGACAACAGAACACTCCCGAATTTATTGCAACAGGAATTACTTATATGCTACCTAAAACAAAAAATTCACCTCAGCCTTCCCAATACCGACCAATTACATGCCTACCCACAATTTACAAAATATTGACATCTGCAATCACAAAGAAAATTCAGTCGCACATTGAACACCACAATATAATAGCAGAAGAACAGAAGGGATGTAGACAGGGCCACATGGGATGTAAAGAACAGCTGATAATTGATTCCACTATTCATAAACACGCCACCTCTAAAAATAGAAATTTACATTGCACCTATATTGATTATAAAAAAGCGTTTGACAGTGTTCCTCATTCATGGTTATTAAAAATATTAGAAATTTATAGAATAAATCCGAAAATAATCGATTTCTTACGCCGAATAATGTTACAATGGAAAACAACACTACAAATAAATTGTAACCAAAATACTGTCACCACGCGACAAATCTCAATCACAAAAGGCATCTACCAAGGTGACTCCCTGAGCCCACTGTGGTTCTGTCTCGCCCTAAACCCTCTGTCTCATTTGCTGCAGAGCTGCGGGGCCGGATATTGCCTCAAACTTAATACAGACGAAACAACAATATCGCATCTTATATACATGGACGACATCAAATTATATGCAAAAACAGACAAGGATATGAAGAAATTAATAGATATAACAACAGAATTCAGTAGCGATATTAATATGCATTTTGGTTTAGATAAATGTAAAACACTTCACATTGTAAGAGGCAAAGTAAGGCCCGGCGACTATGTGGTAAATGAAACGGAGGCTATTACAGCAATGGAATCGACTGACTTATACAAATATTTAGGGTATGTCCAACTTAAAAGTCTTGACCACGTACGAATTAAAAATTCTCTCACTACGGAATACAAGAGAAGACTTAACGCCGTTTGTAAAACTCAACTTTCAAGTAAACATCTCATCAAAGCCATTAACACCTATGCCATCCCCATATTAACGTACTCATTCGGAGTTATAAAATGGTCCAAAACTGATGCAGAACAATTAGAGCGAACTACACGTACAACACTCACGAAACACAATAACCTACACCCTAAATCCGCCATAGAGAGACTAACAATAAAACGAGAACATGGAGGGAGAGGCCTAATGGATATCCAGCACCTATGGCGGAAACAAGTTAGTCGATTAAAATCATTCTTCTATACAAAATCCCATACTAGCAATATTCATAAAGCCATCGTAACGAATGATATTAACTACACTCCACTTAACTTAAGCAATCAGATTGAATCCCAAAACACTACCAGTGATAACCCACAGACACACAAAATTGACGAATGGAAGAAGAAAGTTCTCCACGGTCGGCACCCTCATGACTTAGAGCAATCCCACATAAATAAGTTAGCTTCAAATAAGTGGCTGAAAATAGGCAACTTATTTCCAGAAACAGAAGGATTTATAATAGCTATTCAAGACCAGATCATAAACACAAAAAATTACAGAAAATATATAATCAAAGATCCTACAGTAAATAATGACAAATGTCGCAAATGCCACACACATCCAGAAACCATTCAACACATCACAGGCGCATGCACAACTCTCACACAGACTGACTACACTCACAGACACAATCAGGTGGCCAATGTCATTCATCAAAAACTAGCACTCAAACACGCACTCATTCCAGATGCCAACACTCCGTACTACAATTATACACCAAAACATACTCTAGAAAACACCACACATAAACTTTTTTACGACCGCGGCATTCTCACCGATAGGACAATCCACTATAACCGACCAGATATAATTCTCCAAGATAAAATAAATAATATTACTTACCTGATAGACATTGCAGTCCCCAACACACACAACTTGCAGAAGACGATAACTGAAAAAATTTGTAAGTACGCAGAACTTAAAGATGAAGTGACTAGAATCTGGCAACAAGAAAAAGTATATGTGGTCCCTATAGTCCTCTCCACAACAGGTGTCATCCCAAATCATCTCCTCGGTAGCTTAAAATTATTACAACTAAAAGAAACTCTATATATTACACTTCAAAAAGCAGCTATATTAAATACATGCAGAATAGTTAGGAAATTCATGCAGATAGAAGAAAACGAAATAGGACCTCATCAAATCACATGAACCACCACACCACACATGCTTTGGCTTCGGCCCGTAAATGTAGTTGAAATCCAGCCTAGAGCTGAGAAGTGAAAACACTTACCGTAAATAATAATAATAATAATAATAATATAAGAAAGAAAAGGCGTAGGGAATTGACGACCCCATCGCCCGCTGACGTAACAGTTAAGTGACAAAACTGCTACGTCAACGCAGTCAGTCAGCGCCTTGCGAGAGGTGTGAGCGCCGTGCCTCGGCAGAATTTAGGGTGCAGAGGCCCGTTTGTGCTTATGGCTACACATGAAACGGTGCCGGGCCTGGGCGTCTCCCGTTAATGGACGCCCAAATAATGGATGATGGATAAAAAGATAGTGCGCAAAGGGCCGCTGCCTGGGGGTCGCCGGGGCGCGTCTGGAGCTGGCGCTGGACGCGACAGCATGCGGGCCGCCAGCCGAGCGCGAGGAGCTGCACGGTCACCTACCAGCCCTCCGCATCCATCATCCCCACCAGAAGGCTTGGTGTCGGCTGGGTCTTCTCGGACTCAGCAAGCGGCACCCGCCGCTGGTGGAGCACGTCGCATGCGTTGGTCACAAGAAATGAATGCAAACGCACTGCGGGCGTACTTTAGGGCAAAAGGGGAAGAAACTGGATGTTTGGCGTATCGGGCTAGGATGCATCGTCTTTTTGCTGAGCTGGAGCCATCTTTAACCGTCACAGAGCAAAACCTGGCAGACCGAGTTCGGTATATCTTGCGCTCAAATATATTTGATGTCGCCGAACTCGAACGGCTACGACGTGAGGCTGTTCCCTCGTCGGATGAGAATGCTACGGCTGAGGATGCGGCGCCACAAATGGTAGAGCAACCCGCAAACGTGGATGCCGCCGTGAATACCCCAGTTGTGGTTGATTCAAACGATGATGGAACAGTCGCCCAGGAACTGGAATTAGAGCATATGAGGAGTACATTGGAAGAGGCGATTGTGGAAACGCGCAGTACGCCTCTCGAAAATCGACCGCGACTTCCCCGCATAGCCCTAAGCAAGCGGAATCGGGCTGTCGTGAGGGCTCTGAACCCAATGCTGGTTACCTATTTGGAAGCCAGCCGGGACCTTTGCGAGACGGACTCAATTCTTTTTGGCGCCGCGCTGGCAGTCTGCCGTATCATAGGCGCCAAGGTTTCCACGGCTGGACGCGCTACTGGCCATAGTAGCGCTATCCCAGCATGGAGAAGAAGAATTGAGGAACGTATCGCAAAGGCTAGAGCTCTCATCGGCAGACTGATATGCTTCAGATCAGGCAACAACAGGCCAAGAATTGTGCGCACCGTCAGGATGGCGTTTGCTGGGACAAATGTCAGTTTGTCCCAGCCGGATATAACGCAAAAACTGACGGAGCGCATAGATGATCTGAAGCAGAGAATCGCTGCTTGGGGAAAGCGGATTCGGCGATATACCGAGAGGTCGACACGGTTCAACCAGAATCGTCTCTTCCAGAGTGATCAGAAGAGGCTCTATGAATCATTGGAGCGACCAATGGTAAGTGGAACGGGTCCAGCACCGAATCAGGCCGACACTGTAGCATTCTGGCGCGGCCTGTGGTCAGAGCCCGTAAACCATAGCGAGGGCCCTTGGACGGAAGTTGTGGCGAGTCAGTGTGCGGGTATTACGCCCATGGACCCCGTCATCATAACGCCGGATGACGTAGCTGAGGCGGTCCGTAGGGCCCCGAACTGGAAAAGTCCGGGGCTTGACGGGCTGCATCACTACTGGCTGAAGGGGTTCATGGTGTGTCACTCTGTGCTCGCCCGACAGTTTCAAGAGGCTCTCAACCAGAAGTCGCTCCCAAGCCTCTTCACTACTGGGATCACTCATTTGGTTCCTAAAGACCAGGGTACCACAGACCCGAGCAAATACCGCCCCATCACGTGTCTACCGACCATATACAAGACACTAACATCCATTTTGAGCGCGAGAATCACTTGTCACCTGGACTCAAATCAGGTGATGTCGCGCGCTCAAAATGGATGTCGGGGCGGTGGTCGTGGAACCAAGGAACCACTCCTCATTGACGCGGTCATTGGCAAAGTGGTGAAACGCAACCGTCGGAACTTCTCCGCCGCCTGGATAGACTACAGAAAGGCATACGACTCGGTGCCCCATACATGGCTAAAGAGAGTCCTCGAGCTGTACAAGATAGACTGTACAGTTAGAGACTTCCTCGAGCAGTGTATGGGGCAGTGGAGTACGATCCTTTGTCATCTGGGCGAGCGGATGATGGCTGCGGAGAACCACATAAGGATAAGAAGGGGTATCTTCCAGGGCGATTGTCTGAGTCCAATATGGTTCTGCCTCTCTCTGAACCCTCTCAGTACCTTACTGGAGGGCTCCGGGAGGGGATTTCAGCTACGGAAAGGAGGGACAAAAGTGACCCACCTTTTCTATATGGATGACCTCAAGTTATTCGCCTCCAGTCGCTCCCATCTTATGGAATTGCTAAACATCACTTGTGAATTTAGCAATTCCATTGGAATGGAGCTGGGGACGGATAAGTGTGCGGTACTCCATGTTGAAAGGGGAAGGGTTGCTAACTCTGAGGGCGTAGACTTATCTATGCCCGTCAACTTAAGGACCCTTTCCGAGGCTGAAACATACCGATACCTGGGTATGTCACAAAACATCGGTATCGATGAGACTGGTATGAAACAGTCAGTTTGCGACGTGTTTTATGCACGCTTGACCAAAGTGCTTAACAGCCTTTTGTCCGGTGTGAATAAGGCACACGCATATAACGGCTGGGTCATGCCTGTCCTCATGTATACCTTTGGCATACTCAGGTGGACTCAGACTGAACTTAACGCCCTGGATAGAAAAGTCCGCACTACAATGACGTCCCATAGGATGCATCATCCGAGATCGTCGGTAATGAGGCTGTATTTGCCGCGGAAGCATGGTGGTCGTGGCTTCTTGAGCGCGCTCACCATGCATAATCGCGAAGTGTGCAGCCTCCGTGATTACTTCCTGGCGAGATCGGATGATCCATTCTATAAGGACGTCATTTCTTGTGATAAAGGACTTACCCCTCCATCCTTAGCCAACGAGCAATGGCAAGACCCGGCAGTGCAGAGCATTTCCGACCGGGAGACCGTATGGAAGGAGAAGGAGCTCCACGGGAGGTTCTACAAGGCTCTACATGGGCCTTTCGTAGACACAGTAGCCTCCCTCCACTGGCTACGCTTTGGTGATCTCTTCGGGGGAAACCGAGGGTTTTGTCTGTGCAATACAGGATCAGGTTATTAAGACCAACAACTATCGGAGATACATCCTAAAGGATGGCACCGTCGACATCTGTCGAGCTTGTCGCCATCCCGGTGAGTCACTTAGGCATGTTATCTCCGGTTGTTCGGCGCTTTCTAACTCTGAGTACTTGCACAGGCACAACCTAGTAGCCAGAATTCTACACCAGGAGCTCGCTCTGAAATACGGTCTCGTGGACCGGAAATTGCCGTACTACAAGTACTTGCCGGAAGCCGTGCTCGAAAATGATCGCGCCAGGCTCTATTGGGACCGGGCCATCATCACAGACAGGACTATTCTTGCGAATAAGCCTGATATTGTGCTGATGGACCGGAACAGACAAGCAAACAAAATATCTGGACCTGGCTCACGAGGTGACCGACATGTGGGGTGGTCTGCCGACCGAAATTATTCCTGTAGTCGTCTCTGCAAACGGGCTAATCCCAGTCAGCCTCTCGGGTCATCTGAGGCGGCTGGGACTACGTGGCGGACCGCTCCAGGTTCAAATGCAGAAGGCGGTACTCCTCGATACCGCCCGCATCGTCCGCCGGTTTCTTTCCCTTTCCCCCTAACCCTCGGCCGTTTGGTCTCCCCTGCCGAGGGCCTCCATCTGGTTGGGCTTTTATTTATTTATGTACTTTTATATTTATTTTATGTTATTGATATTTATGTATAATTATCTTTTCATTTTCATTTATAATTATATATTTATAGAACCCAACCAGATGAGAAAACTATATAGATACCCCATAATAATAATGAAATAACGAAAATGACCGCGCCAGGCTCTATTGGGACCGGGCCATCATCACAGACAGGACTATTCTTGCGAATAAGCCTGATATTGTGTTGATGGACCGGGCACAGTCAAGGATATTTTTGGTCGATATTACCATCCCGTATGACGAGAACCTCGTGAGAGCCGAATCAGATAAGCAATCAAAATATCTGGACCTGGCTCACGAGGTGACCGACATGTGGGGTGGTCTGCCGGCCGAAATTATTCCTGTAGTCGTCTCTGCGAATGGGCTAATCCCAGTTAGCCTCTCTGGTCATCTGAGGCGACTGGGACTCCGTGACGGACCGCTCCGGGCTCAAATGCAGAAGGCGGTGCTCCTTGATACTGCCCGCATCGTCCGCCGGTTTCTTTCCCTTTCCCCCTAACCCTTGGCCGTTTGGTCTCCCCTGCCGAGGGCTTCCATCTGGTTGGGTTTTTATTTATTTATGTATTTTTGTATTTATTTTATTTTATTGATATTTATGTATATTTATCTTTTCATTTTCGTTTATAATTATATATTTATACATCCCAACCAGATGAGAAAACTATATAGATACCCCACACATAATAATAATAAAAAGGCGTAGGGAAGTGACGACCCCATCGCCCGCTGATATAACGGTTATGTGACAAAACCGCTACGTCAGCTCAGTCAGTCAGCACCTTGCCAAGAGGTGTTAGTGCCGTGCCTCAGCAAAAATTGAAGGTGCCAAGGCCCGCTTGTGCACATGGCCTAACCATGAAACGGCGCCGGGTCTGGGCGTCTCCCGCTAAATGACGCCCTAAAATGGATGATGGAATCAAATGGAACGCGCAAAGGGCCGCTGCCTGGAGGTCGCCAGGGCGCGTCTGGAGCTGGCGCTGGACGCGACAGCATGCGGACCGCCAGCCGAGCGCGAGGTGCTGCACGACCACCCAGCAGCTCCTCGCATCCATCATCCCCACCAGCTGGCTTGGTGTCGGCAGGGTCTTCGCGGGCTCAGCAATCGGCACCCGCCACTGGTGGAGTACGCCGCATGCGTTGGACAACCCAGATGAACAGCAACGCATTGCGGGCGTATTTTAGGGCGAAAGGGGGAGAAACTGGAGGTTTTGCGTATCGGGCAAGGATGCATCGACTTTTTGCTGAGCTGGAGCCATCTGTAACCGTCACCGAGCAAAACCTGGCAGACCGAGTTCGGTATATCTTGCGCTCAAATACATTTGATGTCACCGAATTCGAACGGCTACGACGTGAGGCTGTTCCTTCATCGGGTGAAAATGCTGCGGCTGAGGATGCGGCGCCACAACTTGCTGAGCAAACGGCAAATGTGGATGCCGCCGTGAATATGCCAGTTGTGGTTGATTCAAACGATGATGGAACAGTCGCCCAGGAACTGGAACTAGAGCAAATGAGGAGTACATTGGAAGAGGCGATTGTGGAAACGCGCAGTACGACTCTCGAAAATCGACCGCGACTTCCCCGCTTAGCCCTAAGCAAGCGGAATCGGGCTGTCGTGAGGGCTCTGAACCCAATGCTGGTTACCTATTTGGAAGCCAGCCGGGACCTTTGCGAGACGGACTCAATTCTTTTTGGCGCCGCACTGGCAGTCTGCCGTATTATAGGTGCCAAACTTTCCACGGCTGGACGCGCTACTGGACAAAGTAGTGCTATCCCAGCCTGGAGAATAAGAATTGAAGAACGTATCGCAAAGGCTAGGGCCCTCATCGGCAGACTGATATGCTTCAGGTCAGGCAATACCAGGCCAAGGATTGTGCGCACCGTCAGGATGGCGTTTGCTGGGACAAATGTTAGTTTGTCCCAGCCGGATATAATGCAAAAACTGACGGAGCGCATAGACGACCTGAAGCAAAGAATAGCTGCTTGGGGAAAGCGGATTCGGCGATATACCGAGAGGTCGACACGGTTCAACCAGAATCGTCTCTTCCAGAGTGATCAGAAGAGGCTCTATAAATCACTGGAGCGACCAATAGTAAGTGGAACGGGCCCTGCACCAAATCAGGCCGACATGGTCGCATTCTGGCGCAGCCTGTGGTCAGAGCCCGTAAACCACAACGAGGGCCCTTGGACGGAAGTTGTGGCGAGTCAGTGTGCGAGTATTACGCCCATGGACCCCGTCATCATAACGCCGGATGACGTAGCTGAGGCGGTCCGTAGGGCCCCGAACTGGAAAAGTCCGGGGCTTGACGGGCTGCATCACTACTGGCTGAAGGGGTTCATGGTGTGTCACTCTGTGCTCGCCCGACAGTTTCAAGAGGCTCTCAACCAGAAGTCGCTCCCAAGCCTCTTCACTACTGAGTGATCCACTCATTTGGTTCCTAAAGATCAGGGTGCCACAGACCCGAGCAAATACCGCCCCATCACGTGTCTACCGACCATATACAAGACACTAACATCCATTTTGAGCGCAAGAATCGCTCGTCACCTGGACTTAAATCAGGTGATGTCGCGCGCTCAAAATGGATGTCGGGGCGGCGGTCGTGGAACCAAGGAACCACTCCTCATTGACGCGGTCATTGGCAAAGTGGTGAAACGCAACCGTCGGAACTTCTCCGCCGCCTGGATAGATTACAGAAAGGCATTTGACTCGGTGCCCCATACATGGCTAAAGAGGGTCCTCGAGCTGTACAAGATTGACTGTACAGTTCGAGACTTCCTCGAGCAGTGTATGGGGCAGTGGAGTACGATCCTCTGTCATCTAGGCGAGCGGACGACGGCTGCGGAAAGCCGCATAAGGATAAGAAGGGGTATATTCCAGGGCGACTGTCTGAGTCCAATCTGGTTCTGCCTCTGTTTGAACCCTCTCAGTACCTTACTGGAGGGCTCCGGGAGGGGATTTCAGCTTCGGAAAGGAGGTACAAAAGTGACCCACCTTTTCTATATGGATGACCTCAAATTATTCGCCTCCAGTCGCTCCCATCTTATGGAATTGCTAAACATCACGTGTGAATTTAGCAATTCTATTAGAATGGAGCTGGGGACGGATAAGTGTGCGGTCCTCCATGTTGAAAGGGGAAGGGTTGCTAACTCTGAGGGCATAGACTTATCTATGCCCGTCAACTTAAGAACCCTTTCCGAGGCTGAAACATACCGATACCTGGGTATGTCACAGAACATCGGTATCGATGAGGCTGGTATGAAACAGTCAGTTTGCGACGTGTTTTATGAACGCTTGAACAAAGTGCTTAACAGCCTTTTGTCCGGTGTGAATAAGGCACACGCATATAACGGTTGGGTCATGCCTGTCCTCATGTATACCTTTGGCATACTCAGGTGGACTCAGACTGAACTTAACGCCCTGGATAGAAAAGTCCGCACTACCATGACGTCCCATAGGATGCATCATCCGAGATCGTCGGTAATGAGGCTGTACTTGCCGCGGAAGCATGATGGTCGTGGCTTCTTGAGCGCGCTCACCATGCATAATCGCGAAGTGTGCAGCCTCCGTGATTACTTCCTGGCGAGATCGGATGATCCATTCTATAAGGACGTCATTTCTTGTGATAAAGGACTTACCCCTCTATCCTTAGCCAACGAGCAATGGCAAGACCCGACAGTGCAGAGCATTTCCGACCGGGAGACCGTATGGAAGGGCTCTACATGAGCCTTTCGTAGACACAGTAGCCTCCCTCCACTGGCTACGCTTTGGTGATCTCTTCGGGGGAAACCGAGGGTTTTGTCTGTGCAATACAGGATCAGGTTATTAAGACCAACAACTATCGGAGATACATCCTAAAGGATGGCACCGTCGACATCTGTCGAGCTTGTCGCCATCCCGGTGAGTCACTTAGGCATGTTATCTCCGGTTGTTCGGCGCTTTCTAACTCTGAGTACTTGCACAGGCACAACCTAGTAGCCAGAATTCTACACCAGGAGCTCGCTCTGAAATACGGTCTCGTGGATCGGAAATTGCCGTATTACAAGTACTTGCCGGAAGCCGTGCTCGAAAATGATCGCGCCAGGCTCTATTGGGACCGGGCCATCATCACAGACAGGACTATTCTTGCGAATAAGCCTGATATTGTGCTGATGGACCGGGCACAGTCAAGGATATTTTTGGTCGACATTACCATTCCGTATGACGAGAACCTCGTGAAAGCCGAAACAGACAAGCAAACAAAATATCTGGACCTGGCTCACGAGGTGACCGACATGTGGGGTGGTCTGCCGACCGAAATTATTCCTGTAGTCGTCTCTGCAAACGGGCTAATCCCAGTCAGCCTCTCGGGTCATCTGAGGCGGCTGGGACTACGTGGCGGACCGCTCCAGGTTCAAATGCAGAAGGCGGTGCTCCTCGATACCGCCCGCATCGTCCGCCGGTTTCTTTCCCTTTCCCCCTAACCCTCGGCCGTTTGACCTCCCCTGACGAGGGCCTCCATCTGGTTGTGCTTTTACTTATTTATGTACTTTTATATTTATTTTATGTTATTGATATTTATGTATATTTATCTTTTCATTTTCATTTATAATTATATATTTATAGAACCCAACCAGATGAGAAAACTATATAGATACCCCATAATAATAATAATAATAATCGGGTCGTCTGAGGCGACTGGGACTCCGTGACGGACCGCTCCGGGCTCAAATGCAGAAGGCAGTGCTCCTCGATACCGCCCGCATCGTCCGCCGGTTTCTTTCCCTTTCCTCCTAACCCTCGGCCGTCTGGTCTCCCCTGCCGAGGGCTCCCATCTGGTTGGATCTTATTTGTTTGTGTAGTTTTTGTATTTATTTTATTTTATTGATATTTATGTACATTTATCTTTTCATTTTAATTTATAATTATATGTATATTTATAGAACCCAACCAGGTGAGAAAATTATATAGATACCCCAACACAATAATAATAATATATAGAAAACTATATAGATACCCCATAATAATAATATAATTTATTTAGTTCCAAACATATACACAAATTAACATAACATAATTATTTAATGGAATGAACTAAAAAGGCGTCTACTCAGTAGAAATGTTATAGAAACCACATAGTGGTAACTACAACTACTGATTTTCAGTAAACGCCAAAAGCTATTTCTTCTTTGCGAGGGGAGATCTCAAAACCTGACGCTGTCATTGAATACAATGAAGCGAAAAAAGGGCCCCTAAGAAAGAGTATGACATGGTATAAGAAGATTGCTTTTGATTTATTCTTTTAAACAGCCATTGCCAACGCAAGAGTAATTTTCAATGAGGTAACTGGTTCGGGTGTCACTATTTAGACGTTCAAGAGACCATAACTCGTTATTGGCTTGGCGAACTTGTTGCGAAAAAAGTACAGGCAAGACCATCAAGTTCATCTAATACTACAGAAAAACACTATCTTACTCAGATACCAAGAAGAGAAGGAAAACTAATACGTCGACGCTGTGTCACTTGTTATGCAAAAAGGAAGTGTGGAAATGCACTACAAGCCAAACAAGTAAACACAGAGTGCCTGGAGTGTAAAAACGCTATTGCTTGCCGTGTTATAATGAGGTGCACAAATACAAGAAATAGTTTTTTTTTTTATAGGATAGGGTGACAAACGAGCACACAGTCCACCTGATGGTAAGTGGTTGCTGTGGCCCATAGACATCTACATCTATCCTCGATTACGAATCAAAATGCAGATGCGTTGTCACCCGTGAGGACTAACATGGAATGCCTCGTTTCCAGTAAAAAGGGTCTCCGGTTCTCTACACTCACCATACGAAATACAGCAGCATTAAGCTACTATTTCACGCTGGTGTTCTGTGAGAGCGTGGTCCTTCCCCGGTCGAGCCGACCCATTCGTGCTACAACTATACTACTAATATAACTGCAGCATGGCTCTACCACGTATCAATAGTTTGTCTTTTTCAGATTTTTATTTTCAATTATAGCCTTTGTTTGATGACTAACCCAGTTTTTATATCCAATTATATTCTTAGACTGTTCTAAATAAATCTTGATTATATGCTTTTTTTCATTTATTTACTCAAGCATATATATTGTTTGACAAATCACTGCAGTTTTTTTTGCTTTCCTATTCTAGATGATATTCCCCACACGTCCCTGTACTAAAAAATCATTTTGTCTTGCTACGTCCTTAAAAAATTAGTTGCAAACTGACCTATACATTTGATCACATTTGATTAATTAACGTATAAAACTTGGTACAAAATTTGTGCCATGAATCAAATATGATTCATGGGACAGGGCACTGTAGTTCAGTAATAAATGGATCTTCAAACTGCGAACAACTTTATTATTTACCTAGTCTCATCCTTGCAGTTATTTTACGCTGGTATTCTGTAAGAGCGTGGTCCTACCTCGATCGAGCCGACCCATTCGAGCAACAGCCATATATAGCTGCAGCGTGACTCTACCACGGATATTTTTTTAAATACACTACAGAAAAAAGCGGAAGCTCTATATGTAGATAGAGCTCCGCACATATCGAGCTATGCGTATACGTATTTCTTTATATAAATGCTTCTATCTATAATTAAAATAACTATATAATTTAATGGAAATAATATTTGCAAATCAATTTAATACCAATAAAATATAATAAATTAGGGACTCACAACACTATCGTCGCTGATCACTGAGAAGTATGTCTCCACGATCTGAGACAGGAGTGTCCTGTTGGCCTCATGGATCCTGTCACATTCCAGGCATTCCTCTATCAGACGCATCTGCCGGATGAACAGCGGCTCTGTATCTACATCCTTGATTGATTTGGGCAACGAAGAGAAGGAGTCCGCCAGGCATCTTTCTATCGGGCCGCGGAGCGTATTCGGTGGCAAACCTCGGCATAATATGTGTAGACATTCGAACACCAATAATATGTCCGCTTCCTAGAAAAACAAATATTTTAATTCATTTCAAAAAAAATTGAAAAGGATGTTTTTTTTTATAGAATAAGGATGACAAAAGAGCTCTACTAGACTAAGATGGAATGCCTCACTTCCAGTAAAAAGGCTTTTCCGGTTCTCTACACTCTCACAATACGAAACACAGCAGCATTAAGCTGCTATCTTACGCTGGTATTCTGTGAGAGCGTGGTCCTTCCCCAGTTGAGCAGAACCATTCATGCTACAACCATAATACGGCACTACGACGTATCTCAATCCGATTGTATTTTTGTACGCTACGAGATATCTTCGTCTTCATCTCCATCTTCGTTGCGAAACGTTTTTAACATTGAAGTAATATGTATTAGAACAGTCACCGCAAAAACATCTGTGCGGTAGTGCGCGGCGCGTAGAGACCCAATACCATTTTGTGGCTTGGACTAAGTAAGTTTGAGTCCATAGGATCTTACGCGTGTTGTAAACAACCAATTGTTGGTGTCTCTTTTAGTACATAGAATATATTATTTCAATGGTTTTTAACAAACTATATTTAATTTTATACGTGGTAGAGCAATACTGCATCTATATTATTTATTGTAGCAGCTTGACCGGGGTATGAACACGCTCTCACTGAAAACCAGCGTAAAATAACAGCTTAAGGCTACAGTGTTTTGTATGGTGAGAATAGAGAGAACCGGAGACCCTTTTTACTGGAAACGAAGACTTCCCTTTATTCAGTCGACAGGAGTGACAAGGCATCTGCATTTGAATTCTTAATCGAGGATAGATGTAGATGTCTATGGGCCACAGTAATCACTTGCTATCAGTTGGGTTGTGTGCTAGCTTGTCACCCTTATACTATGAAAAAACACAAGCTATACGTCAAGTGTGGTTTTATTTAAAGATGGAGAAAAAATTCCACCCCTAAGAAGTGAGAAAAACAGGAGATGAAATTTTTTATGTAACTAACTCACAAACTAGTTTTTATTTGTATTTTTATATTTAAGTTTTTTGAAATAATTGTAAAGAATAGAGAAGACAGAAGTCATGAGTTTTGAGGAAAAAGTGATTGTTTATTGCGAATGGTCCTAACATATTAATTAGATGAATTTTCAATTTTAATTAACTAAACCGACTGCCAAAATAAACATAGTGGTCCTTCGAGCCGGAGTTTATTTAATAATGGTCATTTACATTTTTCTATTTAGCAAACAATCCAGTTGGCAGCTTAAGGTTGTGATATTGCTTAGACCATTCAAAAAGGTCGGAAGATTTAAACTAAAAAAAAACAACGTCAGAGCAAGAAAAGCATAAAGTAACTTTCACATACATCACTAGCTTCTAAAATCTAATTTTAGTAAGATATAATAGTAAAATAAAATTTTAGCTAATATTATTCCAATCGTTCGTTGATTTATGAGGGGAAATCTGTCGCTACTGTATAGAAATTTGTTCATACCTCCGATTTCCCGGGTTGTATTCCCTGCAGGAAGTTTTCCAACAACCTCCTCGCCGAAGCAGAAGCCTGAGCCTGCCTCGCTGCCAATTTCACGCAGCCGACCTTCCACAGAGCTCCGCGGTGGAAAGCCTCGTGTAAGAAACAGAGGTCTATGGGTGGAAGGGGTTTGGGATATTCAGCTGTCAGGGTTTCTAGGATCGCTATAAGGACCGTATCAGGGAAATCGTAAGAAGGAGATGTGACCTGAAAAGAAATCAAACATTTAATTAAGTAAATTTTTTGGATTTATTTAAGTTTTTTACGGAATCAAACAAAATTTATCAATAATGGTTACTTAAGAGCGCTCTTACCGAAAATCACGGAATTGCAAGGTTTTTCGCTAAAATTGTACGTTTTTCGTTCGTTGCTTAAAATAACAATTACTTGTTAAAAATAGTTCATTTTCTCTACTATAAATAATAATAAAGCAAATTTTAGATAACTTATTTATTTATTTAGTAATAATCATTCTTCCGATGCATGTTAAGGTAAAACTCAACTCAAAAACTCACGGAGGCCCGATTTGGGAGCTCTAATTTGTATATTGTATTGAATAAAGACCATCAAAACATTTTTTTCATCTCGCAAATATCCTATACTTTTATAATAATAGAATATATTTTCGTTACATGCAGTTTATGTAACGAAAAAAAAGCTGGACATAATTCAAGTATCGTCCGAAAAGGCTTCAAAACAAGCCCCAATATCTCCAGGTTCTACATCAATTTGACGTAATATTTATACCAAAATAATCTTCAACATTTGCGTAAATTAACGCGAACACTACACATTGAATAAAAACTAAATTTACGGATTTTATCGCGTTTATTTCACTACTTTTACTTATTTTTAATTCCCGACGTTTCGGGTGCTTTACAGCAACCATGGTCACGGGGGGGGACTGAGATGTTTGACGTCCCAATGTCATAGTTAGTCCGGCTACCTTCAGTTTTTTAATATTAATTTTTGGTCCGATTTACGCAAAACGAGCTTATAGTATCATGAAGTCTTGCAGTGGTATGCTTGGGTTTGGGTTTAATTTTGTTAATTATAGGATCCCAAGCAGATGGTAGCACCCAACCATCTTCTCTATTGAAATTTGGATGTTTTTTTAATTTCAATAGCCTCGCGTATCATCCTTGGTAGGAATCGGTGTTCTTTTGCGAGAATTTGTGGTTTATCAAAACGAATGTAATGGTGGGGACGATCTTGAACATGTTCGCAGACTGCAGACTTCCCGGAGCGTCGGTGCTTCACGTCAGCTATATGTTCTTTAACGCAGGTTTTTATGGATCTTTTTGTTTGACCTATGTAAGAGAGACCACATTCACAATCTAACTTGTACACTCCTGCATCTTGTAGAGGGATATTACACTTGACGGATGGTAAAAATTGACTAATCTTCTTCGGCGGCTTGTAGTATGTTTTAATAGAAGCTCGCTTCAAGATGTAGCCAACCTTGTCTGTGACACCTCTAACATATAGTAGTACACCAGGCACACGCTCGACTGTGGCCGGCTTCACTCGGTCACTGTGACGTAGGCGCGGGACCCGAAGCCTGTTGTCTTACAATACTTGCTTGACATGCTGAAGTTCGGCGGCCAGATGTTTTCTGTCACAGATCCCTCGTGCTCTCTGAAACAAAGATTTACCCACGGTAGCTAACTGTGAAGGATGATGGTGAGATTCACCATTTAAATATCGGTTGGTATGGGTCTTTTTTCTATACACAGTGTGACCAATTGTGTTATTAGGATTTCGAATGACTAAAACATCTAAGAAAGCTAAAGAATTATTTGCCTCTAACTCCATTGTGAATTGTATTTTAGAGTTTATAGAGTAAGGGTTTAAAAATGCAGTTACTTTGTCAGATGGTAAAAATAAAATATATTAGACAGACAAATACGATTGCAGCATACAAGATTACATGTTAAGTCGACCTAGATCTTTTAGGAGCTTGTAGTTTCCATCATTACCGACTGTTTCGACTACAAAACGCCATACCCCAAACTTAACCGTTTTCAAGATATTGGATATTTAAGTTTTTTTTTATAAAAATTGCCATTTTTTGTTTATTGTATTAATTATTTTGTAATTTGTGCATCTTGTTTTATTTTTCTTATAATTTTTGTGTAGTAGATAAGTTGCTTCATTATTTTAAACACAAGATACCCAGTATAGAATTCGAGTCATATATAACTGTAAACTTATGCGTTTAATGTGGTCGGCTTTTACTTTCTAATAATGCATCTTTAGTAAATGCCCTGGAATACATAATTGTTTTACACTTGAGACATACACCTGGAACCATGAATACTAAAATGAAGAATCAGCAACGTAAACATCTATGGTTTGCGCGGGTAGCAGAAAGTTCTGATGCTAAATTATCCTTTTACCTAAGTAATACTTGATTGGTTGTAAAACAAGTGCGTTTGTTTTTGAACGCACAAAAATTAACGACTTTTAAAATGTAACAGCAAATAAAAAATCAAATAATACGAATAGCGCGGCCTATAATATGTTCCTTTAAAATATCTCACAAAAGTACTTACATATCGTATCATCAATATTCATAGATTCAATTTCTGTGAGTATGAAGTAAGATTTTCATACCGCTATTACTATGTATGTCAGTTATCAATCGATTACTGCGTAAGAATTAAAATATTTATGTATACTTATTTCAACATTTTAACATTATATCAAAAAAAATATATCAAAACAAATTATAATATTAAAATTTACAAGTTTTTCCGTCCACAAAACTTCATCCTAAGAAAATTTGTATTACTGTGGATCAAGATCTTTCAGTCGCCGTACTCGCGATATTATTGTGCGAGCGAGTGAACAGATATAAAAGAAACTATCGGTCACGTATCTCGCCGCCCGCTCGGTGTGTAAAATACTTAAATTACCGTAACGCCGAAATGTAAAAGCCCTTTTAAGATATTGTATATATTTTTACAATTTAAATTTATTTATATTTTTGTAACGTTGATTTTTTTTTATAACAATAAACGTAAAAATAATAATATCATCCAGACCGAATTACGGTCACGGCGCCCAGTCTCCACGGAGACCAGCCATCTGCGCAGGGCAGGATTATAGTGCCCGAGTGTATGCGCAAGCACAGGTGCACTCTCTGTTCCCTTATGTTCGTAGTCCGATGGCACCGTAATCCGACACGACCGGAAAGATATCAGGCACAGAAAACGGCTTTACGTGCTTTCCGAGGCACGGATGTGCAACACTCTAACCCGTAACGTCATGACGAGCAGCTTACGACCACCTCAACGAATTGAAGTTTTTTTTAGACAGAGTTTTTTTACTTTTAAGAAATCTGACCCTTACACTAGTATTTTTTCTTATATCGTAGGGGCAATTCACATACTTACTCACAAGGACAAGCATACAAATATTTGTTCCGTGCGGGATTCCAATCCGCGGCCCTTAGCACTGCTACGTCACTGCGCCACGGAGAGGTCATAATTCAACACAGCTTCAAAACGGAAAGTTATGATTCGAGACACGCACCTGTTTCCTAAAGCAGTCCATCAGTCCGCGCAACACGCTAGCGGGCTGCAGGTGCGTGTACGCGTGCGGTTCGGTGCGCGGGTCTGTCGTATACACGCCGCTGCGAAACGCGCGGATTTCGCGCTCAACCAACTTCGACACGAACCGCTTCACGCCCTCCAGCGACGCCTGGTTTGTGCATTTGTACACTTCTGGCCACACCTCACCTGAACAAGATAGTTTTATAACCCATGAAATTAAAATATATTTACATTTTATTAATTCGTATATTGGCGGTGTAAGAATATCTTCTACACCCTATCATCCCTTGAGTGTCATAAAAGGAGACAGAGGAAAGCTGAAGGAGATGGGCAGCATATATATCTAAAACCACATGGTGTTCTATCATCGCCGCATATTGGTAGGACCATGGGAGCGCTTTCGCACACAACCGCAGCCCCTCCTCGGAAAAGGACTACTCTTGTCCCATCTCATTCCTAGGTAAGGCGCACCGGAACACACAGTGCTCCTTCCTCAGCGATTTCCAATGATAACGGTATATTTTATACTACCCAACATAGTTATCGACACGCTAATAGGCCAGCTTATGTCATTTGACTTGCAGACAAATGCAAGTAAAGAACTGTAATTGATGTGATACACTAATTCAATTCTATTTTAGTAGGTATTTTGTACAAATTATAACCTACATTAAGGATTCAAACCCAATATTTAAGACGCAGTAATCTCTAATGGTTAGATGTTAAGCCAGCTAGAAAACTGTGGGTTGTTATTTTCTTGCTAGGTGGTAACTAGGCGCTAGGCTTCTTTCCTGTTTAGAAGTCTCTCTATGTATGCCATACTGCAGTGCGTCCACTGCCGTAAAGTAGCAGGCAAAACAACATATTTCCTTCCATCTGTCAATGATACAAAAGAATAAAAATTGTTTTTATGTTTCTTAGCAACACAATATTCTATTTTTTCTCTCTTCCATTTCGGTGCTTCTATGTAAAGGATGTGGCTATCTAGTAAAGTAATATATTTACCCAGTTCCTATTATTTAAACCTTTATTAAAAACAAACACCATCTTAGTCCTCATACATCATTCATCAAAATAATGATTTGATACGGTTACTTCTGAGTAACCTTCTTAAATACAACGCATCTGTTGCAGGTGTCCATGGTCTGTTAACCATCAATGGATTGGTAGATCTCTCTCCTTTAATTTAAATGGTACGTATCATCACCGTTTGACGGCGTACGAAGGCATTTCCAATAAGTTCTCTTTATCCAAGCGATAAAGTGAACGGTTAGAAAGACAAACTGCAACGTAGATCAGCTTCAAAGTTGCAAGAATTCTAGAAGCGCATTTTACGACACTCACGTTATGAAAATAATTAGTTATACTTACATGGTATATAATCAAGCACGTCTTCCGGCTTTCTCGCAGCGTCTGCGGGCGTCTTGCAATATGATGCCGGTAGCTTCACCGTGCGTCTGTATATCTGACAAAACATTAAAATTTACAATAACTAGCGATTTTTGCTAAATTGAAATTCAGTTTTAAATATTAGGGCTGTTTTTTGTGAATGAAGAGGAATGTATGCAATACTAGAGAAATTGCAAATGCATTGCCAGTCTTTGGGACTCTTGGGGTCTTTGGGGTTCTTGTAGGCCCTTACGTCGTATCGGTTTGGAAAACAGCAGGCGACAATAAATTCGACAATATGATCTGGTGTGGCAGAAAAGCAATCATGGAAGTGGACTGCTAACTATAAAGATGATATGGATGGTATTTCGACTACTGTCCGTATTTTCGATATTTTGAATACAGCAGTATTAATGGAAACTCCGTGCTATGTGATGAGATAAGAGCAAAGAGATTTTATTTATTTATTTATTTGCTTTTTCAGGGAAACATACAGTACAATAAAAAAAATACATTATAAAACATATAAAAGTAATCCTAAAACCAATGAAGTTTCCACAGATATCTAAAACATATTAAAAGCTTGCAACCGAAATATGTTTAAAGATTGAAAAAAAAAATAACTGAATGGTATTTATAATTAAAACATTAAGTACTAAGCATAAAATAAAAGTAATACAATACACACAACCTATAGTGAAGCTACCAATTATAAATAAAATTTTACAATATTCTTTTTATACCTATTATATTTAAGGTGAAATTATTTTCGCAAGGCAAGTGCAAGTATGATCAAGCGATCAGAAAGAATTTCATAGTCGATGAATTTAAGGTGTTCTCCTAGATTTTTATGTATCTATGGTCGAAATCAAAAAGATCTCATTACCTCAGGAACATCAACAAGTCTGAAGTCCTCGAGTTTGTAGCAGGAGAGTGCGTCACAAGCGGCACCAGCCACTTCCGGTTGATGTGCCTCTGCTACATATCGCCACAATCGCCTCGTTGCGTCTTGTATAAGGCGATCGTACTCGGGCGTCGACACTCGGAGGGAGGGTATCTCGGATAACAACTCGCAGATACTGCAATGTAATTAAATAAAAAGTGTTAGTAAATCACGAAAAAACGTTGAAATAATACTAGTTTTTACGGAATTTATCGCGTATACTTAACTTTTTAAATACCCGACGTTTCGAACGCTTTACAACACTCATGGTCACGGGCGGGACTGAGATGTTCAACGTCCAGATGTCATAGTTAACCGCGGTTACCATATTTTAAACAATAACAAAATTATTTAAACAATAAAACAAGGAGTAACCGATATAAAAAAAATTTTCAAGGTTTTTCTAAATAACTTTCAAAATACTAGACTAATCAACTGTAGACATCAAAGACACTTTTTGAACTTGAAAAACTGCGTCAAATGCCACCAAGTAAGTCAAAATCAAACGACGCGTTCAAAAGTTATAGTCTTTTAAAAAATTCTAAATAATTGTTTTTTCTTAACTAGAATTTTTGAGCTCGGATAATTTAAAAATCAACTAATTAAAAGATTTTCGAGCGTTTCAAGCTCGTAAAAAGCAGGAATTTCCAGGGTTGACCTACTGGTCAACCGCTTTTCCGATTTTATTACTACAGAGATATACTATACAATATTACATTTCGTTTTAAGATAATAAGTAAATAGATAAACTGGGGAAAAAGGTAAAACATAATATAGTGTAAATAAATTACAGTAGATTGGGTCCATCAAAGATTAAGGAGTTGCTACCTGATCTGCACTGCGGGCCGCGAGTCCCGCGTGCGGCGGGGCTCGAGTGCGCGCCTGGTGGCGGTGCACGAGTTGCTACCTGAGCTGCACGGCAGACCTCGAGAATCGCGCGAGACGAGGCTCGAGCAGGCGCCAGGTGGCGGTGCACGAGTTACTACCTGATCTGCACTGCGGGCCGCGAGTACCGCGCGAGGCGGGGCTCGAGCGCGCGCCAGGTGGCGGTGCACGAGTTGCTAACTGATCTGCACTGCGGGCCGCGAGTCCCGCGCGAGGCGGGGCGCGAGCGCGCGCCAGGTGGCGGTGCACGAGTTGCTACCTGATCTGCACTGCGGGCCGCGAGTCCCGCGCGAGGCGGGGCTCGAGCTCGCGCCAGGTGGCGGTGCACGAGCTGCTACCTGATCTGCACTGCGGGCCGCGAGTCCCGCGCGAGGCGGGGCTCGAGCGCGCGCCAGGTGGCGGTGCACGAGTTGCTACCTGATCTGCACTGCGGGCCGCGAGTCCCGCGCGAGGCGGGGCTCGAGCGCGCGCCAGGTGGCGGTGCACGAGCTGCTACCTGATCTGCACTGCGGGCCGCGAGTCCCGCGCGAGGCGGGGCTCGAGCGCGCGCCAGGTGGCGGTGCACGAGTTGCTACCTGATCTGCACTGCGGGCCGCGAGTCCCGCGCGAGGCGGGGCTCGAGCGCGCGCCAGGCGGCGGTGCACGAGTGGCTACCTGATCTGCACGGCGGGCCGTGAATCCCGCGCGAGGCGGGGCTCGAGCGCGCGCCAGGCGGCGGGCGGCGCCACGGCGGCGGCGCGCCACAACTGCGCCAGCGCGCGCAGCGCCAACGCCGTAGCGCACGAGCCACTTCGGTCTGTGCACTTGTTCAACAGCGACGATATCACCGGCACCACCTCCAGACCGTGGCTCGACGCCCTGCAACAATAACAGACTACTATAAGGGTGGTAAGTAAGAATAGTCCAACTCATGGTTGCGGATGCTGCGGGTACCCACAGACATCTTTTATGAATTCCTCCGACTGCAGAGACAACAGGGTTATGCCAGACTTCTACCGACTAAAACCCCATATGAGGAATTCGTTCGCATTTGGAGCACCTATCTCGCTTTACTTTATTAAAGCACGTCGCACGCGTATTTTGGGATCCCTTTCGAGTCACGGACCTCCTCAGAGGTTACACTGCTACACCTTGGGGGCCCCCTTTCATGAATAGGACAACACTATAGTCAAAGGGAGGACCGTGACAAAAGCCTTGATAACGTCATCTCCGAGCAGGATCTGTCCTCTCCCGACACCGCTCAACAGCCTCTTTCTTGACCATAACGGATTAACAGAAGGCGACTACGGCCCTCTGCACCGAATCCCTGCTCAGCATGCTGGCAGGGAGAGGTGCTACAGATTCCGTCTGGCGTTATCTCACGATGGTATTCTATGTCAGCATCGTCCTTCCCCAGTTGAACCGACCAATTCATGCTGCAACCATAATGTAGATAGCTGCAGCGTAACTTTACCACATGACATATTTTTTATAATTTACCTTTATTTGTTGACACAATACAAAATTTGACTAAGTGCTAGTACCACCGTTTGTTTTGGATACAAAGTTTAATAAAACCTCGATTTATGTACAATTAGTAAGTTTATATGAAAATATCATCACAATCATAAACAAAATCTCGATGTGTTTTGTATTTACAGAAACTTGGCAACATAACAGCCTGGCCACGGGACATTCACCGTAGCGGAATATCGCGCGGCGCGAACGGCGAGGCGTCTAGCGACTAAAACAAATGTATAGAAATGTATGGAGCCTGCCACGCGTAGCGGCGAGTGGCGACGCGACCGACGAAATTTACCGGGCGAATCGCGCGGGCGACTGGCGGCGCGGCGGGCGAATGAAACAAATGTATGAATCAGTACGGTTCGAGCCACGGAGTCGGGCGGCAGACGCGGTGAATAGGATAGGGAACAAAATATTTTAGTTGTTTTCGCCGCGAAAAATGCCGGCCCGACAAAAACAACTTAAAATTCTATCCACATTGACTTTTATCTCCAATTCTGGTCGAATATTAACAAGAATATAATCGCAGGTTTCGACACTCATTCTGGTATTTATTCGAATTTTTTTTCTAAATGCATTCTATTTGTTGTGGAATTCTCCATTTATAACCCGATTCCTATTCAAATCATGTACTCCGCAATCTTTTCGAAATATTATGTCTTGAATCAAAAAACAATTACTTTCTAAGTAATATCGAGATAACTTCGATAAAGACATTTCACTCTCGGCCTATCTGGTCGCGGCGGCAAACGTGACTTCCCATGGCCCTCAAATCGCACCGCGCGAATTGTCGCCCCGCCTGTCGCTTCGCCGTTCGCGCCGCCGCGCCGTTCCCCGTACCAGGCCGTAAAGCAGCGATTTGCTGCAACCACGATTTATAATACTTCGTGAACCGGGGCTGTATACGAAATTTACAGTATGATTGTGGTATGAACTAAACGCTGTTATCAAAACCGTCATGTGGACACTTGTTCCAAACTGTTATTCACATTACTGTTTCTTTTCATTCTCTTTCAATATGGTAATTAATTGTTTTCATTATTTTTTAATGTGTACCTTATTAGTACGCATTAGTAGTAACAATATCCTCCATCATGACTTTCGTTAAAAACTAGTGCTAACAATTTTTAATTGCTATTTCTTAATATTAGTCAATGATTACATATATGTTAATATCTTGATACAAGAGCTGTCGCAATAATTTTTCAATAATTTTACTTTGGTTTTGAGTAGTATCTCGTAATGTTGATTATTTAGCAGACATAAATGATATAAAAATTTTACACTAACCTCAATTCGCAGATACGTTTCACAGCCACCGCTTTCGCCACATCTATCTCCCATTTGAGATCATCAGGCCTTCCCACGCCTGAATCCACTAAAATTTCTTGTAGATAAGGAAAACAACGCACCTAAAATGAAACGAAATAATTATTACCCAACAATAAATTTTGTTGATAACTATTGCCAACAATTGTTATTTAAATAAGGAAACACTACTTATATTTTAATTTAACTTTACTTTTTATTTTAAATTTATTAACTTCTACAGATAATGTCATTCTAATATAATTATATAAATATAAAAATGAATGTGCGTATGATTCCTCACCATTAACTTGCCATTTAGCAAATAGTCGTAATTTAATTTTTTTTAATAAATAAAATTCGTAGAAAAACGAACGTACATGCACGTAAAAGTATGAACGTACGCTACGCACACACACACTCACATGCAACTACAGTTTAAAAACGAAAGAATCGGTCTCTATGAACCCGAAAATGTGGAGATATATTCGAATTCGGGCTCTCAGCTATCCAGTTCATAAGAACAACTTTCGTGCTACCACTATACAATCAATATAGCTGCAGCATGGCTCTACCACGTAAAAACTGGATGTCGGAGAAGGCGACAGAGGGAAACTGCAACAGGAGATGGGCAGCAGCATCTTCCTAATTACAACTGAAATAATCAAAAGAAACTGCAGTTGCTAACTCGTCTGCCAAAAGTTGCAAATATGTGACTAAATCCCTCCTATGAGGCAATCTATGGGTTTTAAAGAACGAACGAAAAAAGCCACAGAAAGTTTTCTAAATGGTGTTATGTTTATCTTTTTTAATATATTGTTCAGTTAAGGAATTTATTGCTATGGGATTACTACTTAATTTTTAAGTTCTTGATGCCCAAAATAAAGTATATAACCCGGAGGTACCTAGCAGATCCTCCGCGTCTCAGTCGCCATTTCTAGTTATCAGTCCGGTGACATTATGTTGGACATATCGGCGAAAAGCCGTGATAGGTCAAGAGCAGTGCTCACGTACAATTTCATAAGCACGAGAGCAACGCGGGTTCGATCTCTATGTACACCAATGAAATTGTTAATTGCAATGTTGAGTGCTGATTTACAACGAGCTCGGCGGTTTACGAAAACATCGCAAGGAAATCTGCATATCTGACAAATAAAAAACGACGACTTGCACTCCGGGAGTGCCGGCAGAAGTGAAAACTTGAATATTAGCGTTGTGCATTTTTGATATTTTCGAATGGTTAGGGAATAATTTTGCACGAATTGCTTTAATTATCAGTATAAAAGTACTATCATTTATGTGGTAGAATACAATATTTATTTATTGCGCTATCGTAAACAAACATGATAATTTATATTACATTCGCGCAAGCACCCAAAGAAATAGCAGGCGCAGGCATACATTTTCGGCGCGCCGTAGAAAGAGAGGAGTTACTTCCTCTCCTACGCCGTCCGTTTTACGCATTTCCGATCAGGATCACGTGTCCTGACGCGATTTTAACATTTTTTACCCATTACAAAAAAAGTGTACACCGCCGCTAAAGAATTTTTCAGTTCAAAAATATTGGGCACGCATTGCCACACTCTGTCGCCTGGTCCTTCACCCACGGAACGACATGAAGTAGTGAATATTCTTATATTATTTTTTATAATATTTACCTGTGTCTCTGCTAAACTTGTATACAGCATAATAAGTAGTGAAGTCGGAACACCCTTGTTCGTTTTCAGCTTGTTTAATATTGAAACTATTGTCGGTACATTCTCCTGGAAATAAAAATATGACGATAATGGCGTGATGATGACCAAAGTTCCATCTTTCCCCCGCGCACTCATTGATCCACCCTCATTTAGACCACAGTGACAAACTCTGAATAAACGAAAGTTATCGACTATGCAGGTCATAATAATTTTTTTATCTACTAAATATATTATATCTTTTATCTATTAAAATACCAGTGGTCGAAATTCGATGTATTTCGTTAAATCAATTTTGTATATTAAACAACCTGTATTTCACTTTCAAGTGCACATTAATATACTGAATGACCCCTTTTTACCGTCTGGAAAAAAAAGGTGAACTACTACTCCGTTGCACTGATATTTTTCAAAAAATAAAAACAAAAATTTTGGATTAAATAAATAAATCAATTAAAATCATATCTACCCTACTTTACGAACGGCAATAAAACAATAAATTTAATAGACATCTTTGACCTTTTCACTTCACAGGGTCACAGGCTCAAGGGCACAAGCGCTCTCAACTCTTCAGTTACTTGTGATTAGCTATGGCGTGACGTCACGTCGCCTTCGTATTGTTTATGTTCCCACGTGTGTATCGTAAACACGTACCAATAATCTAATGTCGAGTATCTAACATTAAGATTTTTTATGTCTTGTCTGGTGAAAACTTAGACGGTGTGACGATTCGATATTTACCCGTGTTAGAACGTATCTGCAAATTATACGTTCCGTCGTCAACACAATGTTGGAAAAAGTTTCTCTGAGTCATCTCCAAGGAATATATTTCCAGCACGACGGATCTCCAGCTCATTACGAACGATCTGTGCGCGTATATCTGGACAGCCAATTCGGTGATAGGTGGATAGGTCGCGGCTGGCCTGTGAACTGGCCGGCGAGATCACCAGACGTAAAACCTCTAGACTTTTATTTGTGGACCGAACTAAAACGATTAGTGTACACAGAAGAAGCACAAAGTATTATTGAAAGTTTAACAAGCAATTTACAAAGACGTGCTAATTTGTGTTTGGAAAGTATCAGCGGCCATTTTGAACAATTACCGCAATATCGCTAAAAAGGTAATTTTTATTTGAAAATAACAATAATGTACTATAATTTTGCAAAAATCAATACGGTAGTTCGTAAATAAGTTGATTTCGATCTTTTAAATACGCCATGATGTTGCAGTATAAGGTAGGGCCATAAAAATGATTATTAGAAACTGTTTATCAATTCATAATAATGCAAGATAAAATTTAACATGTAATTCTATTCAACTACAGCATATTAGACGATCCTAAGCCCGTAAAAGTATGAAGGAAAAATCTAAATCACAAAAATAATAATCTGAAACGAAAGGTAATTTACCTACGTACCATTTTCTGTTTCACATTATTTTTCTATTTACAAACATGTGCTGCTTTTCTAAGTCTTTCTTTTATCGACCAATCATTTTAATAATATTCAGTATATGCTGATCTTGTATTAGTAAGCAGTAACTAGTACTGGGAGGTCTACTTATACTGAACGTTTTAAGGTCATTGACATTACGAGGGGCACACCGAAAGGATCGGGAATAGAATATTTCGGATTGAGTTACAATAAAACCTTTTTTAGAATTTGAGTACGGGCTTCTTAGAACCTTAACTCTTAAATTCAAACAATTTAAAAAAAATGTTTAAAAACAAAAACTATGTTGGTTTAAAGTTGACACGTCGTTAACAGAAATGGAGCTCACGCGTAAACATTTCCATGCCATAATTTATTACAATTTTCGTCGCGGTTTATCTCAAGATAAATGTCTCAGCGAACTTGTTTCGATTTATGATGTTGAAGCACAGAGTCAAACGACAATATACCGCTGGTATGCCGAGTTTCGATGCGGTAGTGTCGTGTGTCGCTCAGCACTGTTTCTTCTGCAGGTCGACCAAAGAACAGAGGTTACGCCTGAAAACATCGCAGCTGTGCGAACTATTATATTAGATGACCGTCATGTGACATACGAGCAGATTCGGGCTGTTATCAGTATCAGAATGACTGCTGAATTCTGTCGATATTACATAATGAGCTGTGTCTTACACACAGCTCATTAGATAGTTTCCCGCTGAGTTCCCCATAATTTATCCAAAGAGCAAAAGGCGGCTCGTGTAGATTGGTGCCGGAATACTCTGCAACGCTTCAACGGAGGGAAGTCAAATTCGGTTTATAATATTGTTACGAGCTTAGGGTTCGTGACAATAAAAACTGCCGATTGAATTACCAAAATTAACACTTTAATTACCGAACACCACTTAAAAGACACTAATAATTGATCACACTGATTCACTTTATTTCGCTCCGAAGCTTCGCTTGTATCGCCAAATTCAATACTGCCCCGACCACGGCTTTCAACGGCTTTAAATAGGGCTCTTCCACCGAAACATCCAGAATATTCCAGCAAATACGGGCCCTTAGGCTTTCTAGGAAGCTTAGTTTCTCTGTTCGATAATAGTACTATCAACTGTGGCGCGTAACACTGCCCCCTCCTAAGACATGCTCGTCCCGAGCATTATCAGTCACATAATAACGCGCCAGTCGATCCACATGGACGATCTTAGGAGTACCTCTCGCGAAATTTAGCTGCTGCAACCTTCCTGACACGATGGCAACGATGATCCTGCCGCAAGGCTTCCACCTCCAGTGCATGGGCCAAGGCGTCCTTAAGCGTCTCGTGGTGCCCGAGCCTCACAGCAGCTCTGACTTCAAGGTCGCGGATGCCGTCGATGAATGTCTGTACCATGTTCCCTTCGATGAGCGCAGGTACAGACCGGTACGCTTTTCGCACCAGCTTCTCCACCTCTAGAGCCCACTGCTGCAGGTTTTCGTTGATGCGCTGCACGCGAATCTGTTCTTTAAGCTGCGCACGAAAGACATGTTCCAGTTGAGCGTCTCCATATCTCGCCTCCAATGCCTCAAGGAGCTGCTCATAAGTCACTTCCTCACCAAGAGCTTCCAGAACAGTTAAGGCCTGGTCTCGCAGGCCTAGTGTGAGAACAGTCATGGCCTGACTTTTATTGCAGCCGTTCGCCTTCATAACGGCTTCGAACTGGATTTTGTAGACCGAACAGGAAGAAGTCCCGTCAAACGGCGGCACTTTGAATCCACGTAGCGAAGGTGTTGTAGCTACTACGGGGGCCATAATTCCATCCCCAAGTTTGAGGTCATCCAGCATTTTCTTCATGTCAGCCATCACATTGTCAACTCGATTGTGTACTTGGTCAATTCGGGTTTCAGCTTTCTCGATTCGGGTTTCAGCTTCCACGATTCGGGTTTCAGCTTCCGACAGGCAGTTGTCATGTTGAGCAACCATATCCTTCACTTCCTTTATCTCTTTTCCAAAGGTAGAGTGAAGGTCCTTCAAGAGGAGCATCTGCTCCTCCAACCGACGGGTCTGTTCCTCTTGTCCGCCCCGCAGCTGTTCTTCCAACCGACGGGCCTGTTCCTCCTGTCGACGGGCCTGTTCCTCCTGTCCTCCTGGCGGCTGGCCCTCAGACGTCTGCGGCTCGTCTCTGGTCCGTCTCCTGCTGGCGTTGACTTCGGGTACGGACACCCTCCATTTCGTCCTTAGGTAAAATCGGCATGATTTGATCCCACCGCTGTCACCAATTGTTACGAGCTTAGGGTTCGTGACAATAAAAACTGCCGATTGAATTACCAAAATTAACACTTTAATTACCGAACACCACTTAAAAGACACTAATAATTGATCACACTGATTCACTTTATTTCGCTCCGAAGCTTCGTTTGTATCGCCAAATTCAATACTGCCCCGACCACGGCTTTCAACGGCTTTAAATAGGGCTCTTCCACCGAAACATCCAGAATATTCCAGCAAATACGGGCCCTTAGGCTTTCTAGGAAGCTTAGTTTCTCTGTTCGATAATAGTACTATCAAATGTGGCGCGTAACACTGCCCCCTCCTAAGACATGCTCGTCCCGAGCATTATCAGTCACATAATAACGCGCCAGTCGATCCACATGGACGATCTTAGGAGTACCTCTCGCGAAATTTAGCTGCTGCAACCTTCCTGACACGATGGCAACGATGATCTTGCTGCATGGCTTCCACCTCCAGTGCATGGGCCAAGGCGTCCTTAAGCGTCACGTGGTGCCCGAGCCTCACAGCAGCTCCGACTTCAAGGACGCGGATGCCATCGATGAATGTCTGCACCATGTTCCCTTCGATGAGCGCAGGTACAGACCGGTACGCTTTTCGCACCAGCTTCTCCACCTCTAGAGCCCACTGCTGCAGGTTTTCGTTGATGCGCTGCACGCGAAGCTGTTCTTTAAGCTGCGCACGAAAGACGTGTTCCAGTTGAGCGTCTCCATATCTCGCCTCCAATGCCTCAAGGAGCTGCTCATAAGTCACTTCCTCACCGAGGGCTTCCAGAACAGTTAAGGCCTGGTCTCGCAGGCCTAGTGTGAGAACAGTCATGGCCTGACTTTTATTGCAACCGTTCGCCTTCATAACGGCTTCGAACTGGATTTTGTAGACCGAACAGGAAGAAGTCCCGTCAAACGGCGGCACTTTGAATCCACGTAGCGAAGGTGTTGTAGCTACTACGGGGGCCATAATTCCATCCCCAAGTTTGAGGTCATCCAGCATTTTCTTCACGTCAGCCATCACATTGTCAACTCGATTGTGCACTTGGTCAATTCGGGTTTCAGCTTTCTCGATTCGGGTTTCAGCTTCCACGATTCGGGTTTCAGCTTCCGACAGGCAGTTGTCATGTTGAGCAACCATATCCTTCACTTCCTTTATCTCTTTTCCAAAGGTAGAGTGAAGGTCCTTCAAGAGGAGCATCTGCTCCTCCAACCGACGGGTCTGTTCCTCTTGTCCGCCCCGCAGCTGTTCTTCCAACCAACGGGCCTGTTCCTCCTGTCGACGGGCCTGTTCCTCCTGTCCTCCTGGCGGCTGGCCCTCAGACGTCTGCGGCTCGTCTCTGGTCCGTCTCCTGCTGGCGTTGACTTCGGGTACGGACACCCTCCATTTCGTCCTTAGGTAAAATCGGCATGATTTGATCCCACCGCTGTCACCAATTGTTACGAGCTTAGGGTTCGTGACAATAAAAACTGCCGATTGAATTACCAAAATGAACACTTTAATTACCGAACACCAATTAAAACTTAAAAGACACTTATAATTAATCACACTGATTCACTTTATTTCGCTCCGAAGCTTCGCTTGTTTCGGTAAATTCAATACTGCCCCGATCGCGGGGGGGGGGGCTCTTCTACCGAAACATCCAGAATATTCCAGCAAATACGGGCCCCGACCGACCAGGCGCAGAAAGCTCGAGTGTGGGGCTTTCTAGAAAGCTTAGTTCCTCTGTTCGATAATAGATGGCGCTAGTGCCATCAACTGTGGGGCGCAACAATATCGTCTCAGGTGACGAATCATGGATTTATTCATACGTATCTGAAAGAAAACATCAGTCAGCAGTTTGGGTCTTCGAAGACGATGTCAAACCAACGATAGTGGTTCGCTCCCGCAGCGTGTCAAAGAAAATGCTCGCTACGTTATACAGGAACGCAGAACGGTTACCGTTGATTGGTATATCACGGTTTGTTTGCCAGAAATGATAGCCGAACTACGAAAATATAACCCGAAACGTCGCATCATCTTACATCACGATAATGCGAGCTCCCATACGGCTCGGAAGACAAATGATTTTTTGAAGCAGGAAAACGTTGAGCTGATGAGCCATCCTCCGTACAGTCCTGACCTGAGCCTAAACGATTTCTTTACATTCCCTAGAATGAAAGATTTATTACGCTGTCAACGGTTTGATGACCCCGAAGCAGCTGTGGAAGCGTACAAATCAGCCGTTTTGTCAACATCAACTTCAGACTGTAATTACTGCTTTAATGATTGGTTTGCACGAATGGAAAAGTTCATTAAGTTGAACGGAAAATACTTCGAAAAACAATAAAATACAATTTAGCTATACCGTGCATGTGGTTTTTCTTATTCCCGATCACTTCAGTGTGCCCCTCGTATACGCGAAAAAACCACCATCAACCAACGCTTTACGTGCTCTCCGAGGCACGGAGGTGAGACATCGCCAACTTTCTGACACCGGGCAGCTACTGAGAATTTCTTGGCGGAAAAACTCAATAAATTAATCTTTGTCCCAACCCGGGATTCGAACCCAGGATCGGCTGTCACACTACTACAACCACTAGACCAACGAGTATCTGATGTTAAAAATGTTGGTTGCAACGATGTGTCGAGCGCTCCCCTCCCATTCGGCCGCCTGGCGTCTACATAACGAAAAGTGGTGCATGCGTCTCACTTGCTCTCACAACTTTCATTCTCTTGCGATCGTAGCCTATTTTTAGTTTTACGCAAACGCCGTAGGAGGAATTGTTTATATTCTATTGGATATTCCGAAATTCTGCCTACCTAGTTATATTTTACAAATACTTTCGAGGATAGATTTTAATCCACTTACACAAAACACTATATTATTTTCCAGACGGTAAAAATAGTCACCCAGTATATGATAAACTTTATGTTCCTGCACTTCTTCTTCATATAAACTGTAATTATTTAAATCTAACATTCCTTTATGCGAACAATATGTTTGAAAAGGCGGTAAAAAGCTTTTCCTTCACATATTAATGTATAGTTATATCTTTTATCTATTAAATATAGTTTTTTTACATGCTAACAATTTGTAGCAGAAGTGGTTCATATAAGAAATCTGATGGCAGATTTGAATTCATAATTTTTATTTTCGGTCTTAACCATATACTGCCTATTGTAAACAACTAGATATGCCAAAAGTGTAACAAAAACTCACTTAAATATGACAAAAGTAAATAAACTACCAACCTTCGTCTTAGCCATCAAGGGAAGCCCTCTTAAGCACACAAGCTTAACATTAGGTCTTGAATCATTGGCTATCATATACATTAAAATTGGCAGGACAATAACAGATACGTCCTTTTTCACCTCAACTAGCTGAATTAAGACCTTTATAGCATTTAATACAATCTTTTCAAACTCTGCTTTCCTCCTCTCAAATATCACTCCAGCTAAGAAAGGTAGGAGTTCTAATCTTAATGAATCATTTGATTCTATCAAGGAATCAAACCACTGTTTCAATAGGTTTGGGTCATCTCTGACCCGTTCCCATGTTTCAATCAATTTAAATACTCCATGCAGATGTCCGTCCGTGTATAATAAAGTTTGAAAAGTTTTGTTTGCTTTCAGATTTGGCATGTACAGTCCGCTGTCCTCTTTGTTGCTATTTTGATAGGTGTCTAAGATTTTAGATGCAACTTTTAAGGCATTTGCTGTTAAGTATGAAGGTAGGTGGAGCCACTGTAGAGATAAAGCTGCAAATGCGTTTAGACTCAATGCTGCGTATTCATACTTGCTTATTATGTGAAGGCCTAAAAATAAAAAAATAATTTTATCAGGTTTCCTCAATATTGCGATAATAGCATATTAATATAAGTTTTTTTTTTGTTTAAAATCCTTTACCCCCATCCCCCACACTAGAATTGGAATTTCCTGTATCATGGAGATAATTTACATACATGTGGGAACAAAAGTAAGAGATAGAAAAGAGAGGGAAGATGTGTGTGAGCGAGTAGCAAGAGAGAGGATGTGATAGAGGGGGCGGAAGGAACATGATCTTAAGGTACGGACAGATGTGCTCATTACTAGCACGAAGGCATGCTTTTATTGAGCAAGTGCTCATCAATAGCACGTGTGTACACCCGTGTGTGCTACTAATGAGCATGCTTATTTTGAGCGTGCTTAAAAATCAACCAACGTTTGATTTCCGAGCATGCTACCTGAGGCGCGAGTAGGAGGAGGCGTGCTGCGAGCGCGTCTGAAGAGGTTTGCTTATGATTATTTTATCGAGTTCTGTACGAATAGCATTGTCACTATATCTTTGTACATCCATTTTAGTCGAGAGTCTGGTGCTAAATAGCATGTCTGTCTAAAGTTTTGCTTTGAGCATGCTTATTTATGAGGCAAATGTAAACAGTTGCAGAGCATACTAATTTTAAGCAAGCTTATGAGCATGCTTTTTGGAGCACGTTGTCAGTACCATTATACTGTACGGTGTAAGGCTGAAGAGGTAGTAAATAATTAAAAGCTTTTTTTTGTAAGTGTTTAAAAGTTTTATTTCATGCAGAGTCCCACAAATTGAGCGCTCGTCCGGGATAGGCACAAAATCGTAGTAAATTTAAAAAATTATTTCAACGATTATTTTTGCACAAGAACAAACATCTATACCTGGAACAATTACTTGAAGGCCGTACAAATACTTGTCCTGTGCGGGATTCAAGCCCGCGCTGCACTCAACGCTAAGCTACTGCGCCATGAAGCCATCAAGAAATTACTGAATTCATTATTAATTCATAATTATTGTGTTGGCAGCTTGGGATAATTGATTGCACTAAATAGCCATCAGCAATTATGGTTGTCATAAGTTTCAATTAAGGTTAAATAACCTAGCCTATGGTTCATAAAAGGTAGCTTGATCTCTGCAACAGGTGTCAATGTCATACTTTATGGGCAGGTCTCTGTATGTCTTTACAGACAGTACCTGTCATACATTATGACAGGTACTGTCTGTACTACTAAGAAATTCAGGACTTCATAGGCGTGATTTTTACTGACAGCTGTCGCAGAGATCAAGCTATCTTTTATGAACTATAACATACCTAGTTGTCTCTGATATGTGAGTGAGGTATAGCATCCAAAATAAATGTCCATTAGACTGATAACAAGGATGTCATAATAATATGCAAAGTGGTTTCTTTTCAACTTTCCGCTTTGAAAATTAATTTATTAACAAGTTACAGATTTCGGTCCAATTTTTTGACAGACAACAAGAATGTCGTTCATATGCCGTATGATGCTAGCTAAAGAAAACACATTACCTATTTTGTCCCATGAGTGCCGTAAAAGACTACTTTGGGAAAGTTTCAAAGACATAACGGATAGACTATCTCGTGTGACCAATGTAAAATATTTAAACCAGTTATGGGGAGCAATGTTAAAATTCAAGACATCTAGTAAACATTCCTCTTACGAAGTGAGGGGTCATGTCCAGTCATGGCCTGTTTGGGGCCAATAAAGAAAAAATCCAAAACGAGTAACACTTACATAGATTAAAAAGTTCATGCAAATATAAAGCTGAGCTATGAATTAAATTCTCCGCAAGAAGCATGACAGTTAGCCCAGACACCGTTTTTAGTTCAGGAGCATCCAAAGCAAAACATCTTTCCATCAGACTGTAGCAGGCGCGTGGATCTCGACTGAAATAAAACAAATACAATAATGTTTTTATTTTATAGTAACTTTTCCCGGAGCTTAGCTCGTGTGGACTTTGCGTTACTGACATCATTAGTACTCCATGGTAAAATTCTTGATCACTAGATTGTCAGCCAGGGTGTCTGTTTGTCTGTCACAAACATTCTTTTCAGACCTTATAATTAAATTTTAATTTAGTAATACTTAAAGTAAATATATAATTTATTTATCCCTTTACCAGAGCGCCACCATATTGGGATCAGATATTGTGATTTTTTGTTTTGGCACTAAACCAATATACATTGTGAATGGGACATTTTAGTCCATAAAATATATAATGAATTAGTAACTTGAATACAACCCGTCGAATGTTAGTAACCACCTGCTACAAGTGATGATAATGGTGAATACCTCTCAACGTTTGAGAGACCCAGTGGACATTAAATTGTGACGTAGAACGTATGAACCATAATCTTAAGAAAACAAAAAAATGTGTGAAAATGAGCTCAATTGCTCAAGTCATTCATTAGTTACACGATCGCTAATATTAGCTATAGATGACGCTATAGAGACCAATGATTATAGATATATACTAACAATCCGCCCGGCTTCTTTCTGGATCTCGATAACAGCGCCATCTACCGGGTCTTATTGTGAATTTAAACCATTCTCGAATCAACTTAATCACACACACATTATTTCATTAAAATCGGTCCAAGTATTTAGGTGGAATTCAGTCACATACACACTGACAGAAGAATTGTACAAATAAAGATTTTAAAAAATTGTCATATTCAACAACATTTTAAAATCTTATTTCATTCCGTGGGTATCATAAAAGTCAAATGCATCTACATAATATGACTCGGTGGCGCAATGCGGTAAACTGGAGGGATAAATAATTGTTCTGGTTCTGGTCTGTCCCATGTGCAATTTGTGTGTAAATCGCCTCCATGACGCAGGATACAATTTTGAAAAGAAGTTAAAATTCTTTTTCATTTTCTATTTTAATAAAAATACGTAACATATAGAACTAACTCTACGTGCACTATACAAATATTTGTGGAGCAAAAACATTCACAGAAAAACATACGCAAACATTCATACGCATACCTACGAATTACTCGAGAATTCACTCGCGGCAACGATCCAGTTTCAAGTCGTAAAAAATTTGATGCTTTACTCCAACTCAGCTGTGCATCAATGTCAATTGAACTTTAAAACGAGGGTAGAATGCGAGAAATCTGAATCAGATGGCCACCAGCACACTGAAATTGTTAACAGTAATTTTAAATGCTGATTTACCACTTGTACTAAATGCGTGTCTGAATTATAATATTTCAAGACAACTAAGTCCACCTTAAGGCATTGGCGGGCCGGCTCGGTAGGCATATCCCTACCCCAAAATCCTCAGAAGTGAGAGGAGACCTGTGCTTAGCAGTGGTTTAACCTCGAATGTAATCTATATACAGTTTTCTCTTTTTATATAACTCCTTTTAATAAGATCATTACTACAAAATTCTATAAAAAGGGAACTTAATTTCAATGTTTATAGTTACTTTGATAAGGCATTTTATCTTAGTCTTCTTGGGTGACGATAATCTGCATTTGGTTCTTAATGAGGATAGATTTAGGTACCTTTAAGTCATAGTATATGTATACTATCAAATTGACTATATGCTCGTTTTTCATACCAATACATATAAATGCTTCATAAATCACTTTATTTGACATGACAGACGGTGAGCACCTTTGATGCTACTTCTAGTCACCAATCTGAATATATCATATGTAGCATTGACATAGCACAGTCTAGCCTTTAGTATGTCTTTAGGACACAGCCAATACAACTTAGGGACTTTCAAGAAAAGAGCTTACTCCCATCTAAAAGGCCGGAAACGCACCTGCAATTCCCCTTGTGTTGTGGTTGTTCATGGGCGGCGGCAGACACTTACTATCAGGTGAGCTGCGTGCTCGTTTACCCCTCTCTTATAAAAAAAAGCATTCACATACTATTCAATGGACTATGTTCTTGTACATAACTATGAGTTCAGTAAAGAATAAATAAATAACATAACAACAGAGGTTTTTTTCATTCTACGTCACAATTGAATGTCCACTGGGTCTCTCAAACGTTGAGAGGTATTCACCATTATCATCACGTGTAGCAGGTGGTTTAGCCAACGCAGTACCAGATCTTTCGCATCATTAATCCCTGTCACCTTTTGTATGGTATAGTTTTGAAGTGGTTATTCCATCTGTCGTAAGTCATGAATTCTCTTGACGCAATAGAGGTTTACCAACGTAATTAAACAAACCCACCCACGCAAAATACGCGTTTTTACGTGGAGTAACAGAAATAGCCCATCGTTAAGAAAACTTACCCATTTTTAAGCATTTCATTCGATATCCTTGCCAGAACGGGTACGAATGCCATAATGTGCTCGCGTCGCTGTTGATAAATTGCAGTATCCGCCACTGCACTATATGCCGCGAAAGCTTGCTCCAATAGTTTTGGGTTGCAGATCTACAGACGCATTATAATATTAATGATGCCATGTAAAATTTAAATAAACTAATGGCCAAATACTCAAACGCTACTCAATTTTAAGATGTCTTTAAGTCTTGTAGTGTCACAGTCATTTCGACTTACAGTGATAGAGACAGTATTAATATCCTCTTGTAGTTCTCAACCTCAACATTGGCAAAGATTCATTTTAAAATAAGAAGATGTAGAGATAGCATGACAATGGCTTAACAACATCTTAAATTTTGAGTATTTGAGCATAAGACTGCCAGCACTAAACCTGATGGTAAGTATAATATAATATATCATTTTTATAATATATCATTTTATTTTTTCTCTTCACAAAGGTATATAATTTCACATTATTTCTTAAATAATATGGTTGTAGATAATTATGACCTTTGTGAGAGACTGGTGTCCATACTACGGTAATCCCTGTGTTATAGATCACCAGGCCCTCACCCTAACGGATAGCACATATTACATTTTCAAATATATTAACATCATATATTATTATAATAATATTACAAGAATAAGAAATATTTCAACAAGGAAAGATTCTATATGTTGTTTTTAAAGTTTTTCTATATGTGTAATAGTGTGTATGTGTACGTGTGTATGTGTACGTGTGTGCGTGTGAGTGTGCGCGCGTGCGTGTGTGTGTGTGTGTGTGTATGTGTGTGTATGTGTGTGTGTGTGTGTGTGTGTGTGTGTGTGTGTGTGTGTGTGTGTGTGTGTGCGTGGTGCGTGTGTGCGTGTGTGCGTGTGTGTGTGTGTGTGAGTGTGTGTGCGTGCGCGTGCGCGTGTGCGTGTGCGTGTGTGTTGTGACGTATTTTTAGGATAATACTCTCAGTAAATTTTCAGCATCTATATAATCGATATTTAGCAACCACTTCTGTAATTTTTGTTTACATGCAAGTTTTGGTAGAGAGTAAATTGACAAAAGTTTATTTCATCATCATCATCATCATCATCATTACAGCCCTTCACAAGTCCACTGCTGAACATAGGCCTCCCCCAAGTAACGCCACAAAGCACGGTCCTGAGCCACCTGCATCCATCGACTTCCTGCATGTCTTACCAGGTCGTCACTCCATCTAGTGGGGGGTCGCCCTACACTACGCCCACCGGTACGAGGCTGCCACTCGAGAACCTTTCTTCCCCATCGGTTATCGGTTCTTCGAGCTATATGGCCGGCCCATTGCCACTTCAGCTTACTAATCTGTTGGGCTATGTCGGTCACTCTGGTTTTACTGCGGATATCCTCATTTCTGAGTCTATCACGCAGAGAAACTCCGAGCATAGCCCTCTCCATATCTCGCTGAGCGACCTTGAGCGTCCTCATACGGCCAGCAGTAAAGGACCACGTCTCTGATCCGTAAGTCATCACTGGCAACACGCACTGGTTGTACACTTTAGTTTTCAGAGATTGAGGTATACCTTACGAGAAGATGTGTCGTAATTTCCCGAACGCTGCCCAGCAGAGTTGAATTTGTCTATTGACCTCTCGGTCGAAGTTGGACTTACCTAGTCGGACTATTTGTCCCAGGTAAACATACTCGTCAACAACTTCGAGCATAGTGCTCCCCACAACCCACCCCAAAGTTTATTTAATTTGTTATAAAGGTAGGTCCCAGGAAGCAAAAATGCTTATGCAAAAATTTTGTCTTTAGAAGCTTACTGGGACAATCTACATATTTCCTTCTTTTGTCATTATTATAGGAGGACTCATACTGTATAAGAGAATGTTTGAAACAAAGAAGGCTACATTTTTTTTTATTAACTGGCTTTACGGCTCTGGGTTCTAGCCCTTCTAAGCCTACCTTAAGAAGGCTACAGATGCATTGTCACCTCTGAGGACTAAGATGGAATGCCTCACAGCCTAAAATTATACTAGCTCTCTATATCCCACAGACCAGAACTCAGCTGGAGGCACTGTTACGGCACCTATTCTTAGGCAAAAAAGGAGTCCTAACTAAGTCTCTTCTGAATGATTTACATACATTTATCATGAATTAAAGTTGTTAAAAACTAATTAGCCAAGATTCAGGTTAAAAATATAAATGATTACTTAGTTACCTAGTTTGTAAAGTACATTCTGCACTCCGTAAATTGTGTGCATTATCACCATATTGTTTTATTTTTTTAGATGGAATTAATTTTTCCGTCAAGTAACACTTGACTCTATTTATTTAGAAATACAGCAAAAATTAACAAGAAAAACATTCAATATTTGTAATAATAATATTTACATTAATATAAGTCCCATTAATTTTATAAATAAATATTTAGGTTTATAAAAATAAACCAAACAAAAACACAAATTATTAACAAATATTACCTGTTGACAACAAATACAGTCGAGTAAAAGCAATGACTGGGAAGTAGTTTGAGGTAAACTGAGCAGCAATTGCCACGGTTTGATGCTTGTACTGGGGCGCTGAGGATTGCATGTTAGCCAGAAGAACACTGAGCGAAGAAGTTCCAAACTATTTGATGAAATTCTGAAATCCAATGATGAGATGTTAGATATTAATACGAAAAATAGAATTCATCAATGACATTTTCTGCCACCAGGGCGGCGCTACTTAGGAATGAGGTGAAATATTTGCCAGGTTTTATAGAAGTTGATTTGTTAAAAGAGTGTAGAAATTAATGTTTCTTTATGAAATACTAGTTGCACTTTAAATATATTAAATTAGAAATTGATAAACCAAATTACAGCTATTTCTAAAAAAAGTTAAAAATGTGTTTAAAAAAAACTGTCTATAAAACAGCTCCACCTACCAGGTCTATTTGAATTGAATCTAAACCATCCAGAGACCCACTCTAGGGCACACAAAAATTTTCATCTAAATCATTCAAGCCATTTTCAAGTTTTAGCAAGAAGTTTTTTTATATGGTGGAACCATGCTGCAGTAATATTAGTCGTATAGTTGTATTACAAATGGGTCGGCTCCACCAGGGAAGGACCATGCTCTCACAGAATACCAGCATCAAATAGTAGCTCAATACTGCTGTGTTTCGTATGGTGAGTGTAGAGGACCGGAGACCCTTTTTACTGGAAATGAGGCATTCCATCTTAGTCCTCACGGGTGACAACGCATCTGCATTTTGATTTGTAATCAAGGATAAATGTAGATGTCTATGGGCCACAGCAACCACTTACCATCAGGTGGACTGTGTGCTCGTTTATCATCTCATTCTATAAAAAAAAGACTAATGGACAGCAATTGATTTTTATATATAAAGATAATTTTTGAAATATCAAAAGTGCATTTTACTAGCATTTTTTAAAATACTTTAACATAATTTTCCAACTTTACCTTTAAACCAAAAATAAAATTTACCTTTATACCAAAAATAAAATGATTAAAGTAATTCAAACATATAAGAGCATAGTCTAGATTAAGACTATTTTCAATATGATACTAGATTTTTTTATTAAATTAGCATTATAGAAATTAATCCTCCCATTCCACTTGACATAAAATTTCTTACTTGTAATCTGGGTGTGTACATAATGCATGCATTTGTGCTAAGACATCATCTTCAGCATCCTTGTTCTTCTCTAAAACTGAAATAAGAGGATGCTGTGGAGATTTAAGTGAAAACTGGCACTTATAAGGCTGCCCTGGGATAAGACGTGAACGAAGGTCCAAAACTAAGAGCCCTGCCATTGTTGATATAGTTGCAGAGTAATTTCTGAAATGATTTATAACTTTAATGATAAACGATAACAGACGTGACAGTCAAATTATTAAAAGGCAAAGGACTATATCTTACTGAGCACTAGGAAGTAAGGTTATGACGGTGGACATAGTGTGTCCAATCTCAAGAACTCCTAGCTCTACTAAAGCCAAAAGGCCTTGGTATGCAGTAAGACTGACAAAAGTGTTTTCTGACAAGCATTTTTCTCGTAAGAATTTGAGTTCTTCATTCTCTAAGACGAATCTCTGCCTTTCAGCCGGCTTATACTTCGATTTTATGGTAAAAATTAACTTATCGACAGCATTTACTATTAAAACATTATTATTCGTTTTTAACTTATATTCTATTTCATCCATTTTAAGTTACTTGAATGTTTTTGATTTTGAATAAAAATAAAATGAAATTATGAAGTTCAAAATATTCACAAGTGCCACCTATCAACTGACATCTGTCAATTTGTCAAGTGTAAACCGTCAACAGGTTTTTTTTTAATTTAACTGCCTTCATAACTCTGGGTTCTAGCCCTTCTGAGCCTATCAGTTCTCTCAGAATCTTCATTTTATATATTTTGTCTTCACAATATGCTGATGCGTCACATTGCGAAGTTTTTGGGAGATTACGACGACAGCTCATCTCAGCGGACTGTTGATGACGACAGCCACTCAAGTTGATAAAGCGCCCAAGGGACCAAATTAACTTGAGGTTTATATCAACATCAAAGCACTTGTTTCGTTGTTTTTTCTAATAGTTCACACGCACGGACACTTAATTTACAAAATTGCATCACTTTTACGAATAAAAATCCACTTCAAACCATTATTCAAGTGACAAAACAGGAGCGACAATCCGTCGACGGCCAAGTTCCCTCCAAAACACGTCAACAGGTGTCAACCAGTGGACCATGGAGGTGAGAGAGAAGGAGAACGATCGCTACATACTAAAGCATAGCCCGCGTGTCCCTGATAATTTGTAAAATTTATAGCGGCGCTGCCGTCGTTGAGTAGTGGCTGAGAAGTAAGCTGTATATGAGTACAACGTAGACAGAGAAACCCATAGACAAATTGACGCCTTCTTTCGCATTCGCACACGAAAAAGATAGATTTATGCATACGTCTTGCATAGAAGTGAGATAGAGCGGTGTGTTTGTTTGTCCCTTTCTCCGTGCCGGTTTTTTTATTTAGCAAACTACACTTTGCTAAAAAACTTTGACAGTTCGTAGCGATCTAAAGAGTTTACAAGTTGGTTTAAGTGATAAGAAAGTGTTTTGTGAGCTTAAGATTGGTGAATCTTGTTCAGTTCAGTTCTTAGAAATATTAAAAATGTTATCTAAATATGCTTCAAAGTCATAAAGATTATTGTATAACCTAAAACTACGTTATCGTCCTTTCTCATTCGAGGCCACGCTAATCATTAGTCTATAGGTTTCTCTGTCTACGAAGTACAAGTAGATGAAGTTAGTTGAATAATGTACAAATTTTCTTCGCGGCATTGGTGCGAAAATAATCGTGCTCCGTAATTTTTTAATTTTTGACAAAAAGAAACATTGAAAAATGGAGAAATACTTTATTGTGCACGGATGTGCAAGTGGCTTAGCATTGGATCGGAAAAATGGACTGAAAATGACTTTTATTGAGAGAACTTAGCAATCGCAGTGCCTCACTTATTTTGTCCATATTTCTGGGACACTATTTTCTACAGCGATCGTTCTCCTTCTCTTTATCCTCTATGCACTGAGTACCGTATAGTAAAACGTAGTTATTATTTACTCTTTACGCGTACTCTCAATGCGGAAACTATTTATTGGTTCCATACAAAATATATTATGATCAAAGATTTTAAAGGGAAGGATAGGCCCATGTAAATATTTAACTCATAACTTTTTCATACAAGAAAAAGTAGCACATCTGTCATAATACAAACGTCATATCAAAACACGACGTAACCGGGGTCGGATTTCGTAGTATAATTATTCTAATTGTACCATTATTTCATACTTTGTGGTACATAGTATCGTAATAATACTAAGCGAAAATACCATAATTTTACCTAAAGGTCGACTTGTATTATTATTGAGTCCTTTTACATGTTAATATTAACTTTAAAAGAATCGATAATTATTCTGTATTGTACATGAGTGCCGCGTTTTTTTAATAAAATTAGAATTAGCTCCCTTTCTGGTCAATCGATGCTCGATTGATCCTTTTCTTTTGTACTCTTTTCGTTTTACCCTTATTGAATATTAACTATATTAGGTACCAATATTCAAAATTTAACTTACACTAAGTTCTTTAAACAAAAATTAAACAGAAATAAAAATAAAACCGTCAAAAAACGAAACGTATATATAAACAAGACGCGTGACGCCAAAATCCCAAACGTGATATAATTTTTTTTAAATAGTATAATTTTATTTTCCATGTACAATATTTTTGAGGGTCTGAATCTAACCCTGGCCTAATCATGGTAACGTAACTAACTGTAAAATAAAACTAAAAATGCATTTATATAACAATTTAATTGTAACAAAATTAATATAACGTTATTTACCCATCACACGATATCCCATGTTTTTTTTATCTTTGTATCGTAATTGCATTCTTTTACCACGCAACTAGACATATTTGTGACAGGCAAATCTGTCCTGCGCGCACAACACGATTCGCGATTCGCGTTGGCCCTAAACTGTAATTTTAGGGCCAATGCATTGGTCCGTTTTAGTTGTTCGGTCGGCCCGGTGCCTACGCTAGTAATATATAAGTCAATGATTATGATATCTTTGGTATTGGTGCGGTAAAAGTACGGTATAATTCTGATGTTAACGTATTTGTTACACTCTTAAATATATTCAAACATCAGTTTATACTAAATCTATGGTTGAACTGACTTACGTTTCAGTATTTGTAACTTTGGTCGATATAATATATAGTAACTGTTTCCGACAACTGCATTGGCGTCGTTTTAATAAATTGAAATAATTATAATCTACTTGCTTATTGAACTTCATACTTCAGCCAGGTTTTGATCTGGCTACAATTAGTTTAAAAACGACATACTGGCGTATCTGAAAGTTTAATAATTCTATGGGTTTTTAAATTATTGTTTTCCCATGGTTTTCCGCAATACGAGGGGCACACTGAAATGATTGGGAATAAGAAAAACCACATGCACGGTATAGCTAAATTGTATGTTATTGTTTTTCGAAGTATTTTCCGTTCAATTTAATGCACTTTTCCATTCGTGCAAACCAATCATTAAAAAGTAATTCCAGTCTGAATTTGATGTAGACAAAATGGCTGATTTGTACGCTTCCACAGCTGCTTCGGGGTCTTCAAACCGTTGACGGCGTAATAAATCTTTCATTCTAGGGAATGTAAAGAAATCGTTTGGGCTCAGGTCAGGACACATTATCGTGATGTAAGATGATGCCACGTTTCGGGTTATTTTTTCGGAGTTCGGCTATCATTTCTGGCAAAAAAACCGTGATATACCACGCAGCGGTAACCGTTCTGCGTTCCTGTAAAGAAATTGTATCAACATGCCCCTTTTTCGAGACAAACGTAGCGACCATTTTCTTTGACACGCTGCGGGAGCGAATCACTTTCGTTGGGTTGACCTCGTCTTTGAAGACTCAAACTGCTGACTGATGTTTTCTTTCAGGTTCGTATGAATAAATCCATGATTTGTCGCCTGAGATGATATTATAAACGGCATTTGACTTCCCTCCGTTGAAGCGTTGCAGAGTATTCCGGCACCAATCTACACGAGCCGCCTTTTGCTCTTCGGACAAATTGTGGGGAACCAAGCGGGAAACTAGCTTTCTTACACACAGCTCATTATGTAATATCGACTGAATTGCAGTCATTCCGATACTGATAACAGCCCAAATCTGCTCGTATGTCACATGACGGTCATCTTATATAATAGTTTACACAGCTGCGATGTTTTCAGGCGTGACCGCTGTTCTTGGTCGACCTGCGTCTGCGACTGCGTATGCGTCGGAACTCGGCATACCAGTGGTATATTATCGTTTGACTCGGTGCTTCAACATCATAAATCGAAACAAGCTCTTGACTAAATCCGAAATATTCTATTCCCGATCATTTCAGTGTGCCCCTCGTAAGCTTATTTCCACCCTAGCACTTCTTATAAGTTTGTGTTTCCATCTTATTTCTTTTTTTAATTAAAATTTTTGGCTTGGATGCTTGTCTTTAAAGCTAAGTTTTCATTTCATTTGGGATCGTTGTTTTTATAGATTTTTTCCTTTACAAAACTATGCTGATGCGTCACATTGCAAAGTTTTTTGGAAAATTGAAGATTTTAGAAGACTAGGATGATTGATGATGACAGTCACTCAAGTTAGTAAGGTGCCTAAGCGATCAAAATAACTTGAGGTTTATATCAACATCGAGGCACTTGTTTCGTCGTTTTCTCTAATACATCAATTACGCAGACACATTAAGTGTAAGCGTAAAAAAAAACATTATTTAAAAGATAAAACAGGAACAACAATCCGTCGATGGTGAAGTTCCCGCCAAAACTCCACCTTATTTCTTTGTGAAAGCGAGTGACAGTCTGACAGATAAAATTTTCTTCTTCTTCCTTACATTATGGCGGTTACATTAATCCGTCAGTAAAATGTTTTATCGAAAAGTCTTAAATTAGGTCACAAACTGCATAAAAAAGGAAATTGATAATATAAGAAAATGTAACAACAAATATTAGGTCACTGATTTTGGCATAAATCTGTTGAATCACCTAAAACAAAAGACGGAGAATGTTTTAGAACGATTATTATGTGTTATTATATGATAAACTGACAAACAAATTACAGTTTAATATTGTTAGAATTAATAAAATTGCATAAAATATATACAAAAGAGGTGTTTGTGAAGATTATAATTAGAAGGGAGTTGAAATATATTGGCCGAGGGATTTCAGGGCTAGACAATCGTAGAGTAATGATGATTATTATTTGGTGCAGTTAAAAATATAGGTGGTTAGTATTTCTCTCATCTAAACCACATTCACACAGAGAACTATCCCTAATCCTGTACAGGCATGTCCAATTCTTAATCGGCAGACAGTAGAAGTAGAATTCTTGCTTGATTTATAAAATATGAAAAACCATGGTCTTGATGGAATATTATCTTGTATTATGCTGCTATCATAGTGATTGCCTCTTAATATTTTGTGATGCTTTCCATATCTCATTCCATTTGTTAACAAGCTTTTTCCTAGCAAGTAAAAGTAAGTCACGGAAATGGGTAAAATTTGGTGTGGTGCCATTTTTTCATTTTCAAGCTTTTTCATTTTCGTAGATATCATTATGACTAGGTCTCTAGGCTAGATAGACCGA